TTATGAAAAATCTAAAAAACTATAACTGAGCTAATAACTATATATAGAATCTATATTCAAAATTTCATTCAATTATATCGAATGAATAAAAAGTTATAAAAATCAAAAATCACTGTTTTTGGTGTGAAAGGGTGGCCCGAAAGTAGGGTAGTTGACTTATGATGCGCATGTTCTTCTATGTAAATGTTTCACATGTATGAACAACGGTGATGCTGGAGAAGTCATAGTGGGCTAGGACCGTCATGTATCCCCTCACCTCCCTCTGAAGATCATGATGAGGGGATATGTTATATCATAGCAATTCTCACATTCATAAGATATCACAAACAAGGGTAGGATAAGCTCCTATCTGAATAGAAAGGGAATATCCAACTACGTTCTAGGATGGATATACTTCAGACGATATTATCCGAAACCATAGCTTTTTATATATACGCCCAGGTTACATACAGCATATGCACCGCCTATTTCGTTCCAGCAGCTGCCATTCTCTGGAAGCATCCCTTATAGGCCTCATGAACCTCGGGGACTTCATACCCATACTCGCCCAACTTCTTGATCAACTTCGTAGTATCCAATTTACAATTACTTCGTCCCGCCTTGATGACCTTGGATTGTTCCTCTAGTGTGAAATTCTTCCATGTGAAATCTGGTCTCACATATTGTTTGAAGAGAGCCAAGACCTCGTTGTGAGAGATGGCACCTGGGTTGGTGAAGTTGTAGATACCAGTATCTTTGTGCTCAGCCATGAGAATAGAGGCAGGGAGAAGATCGTGAAGGATGGTGTTGGAGTTGGGAATATCGACTACACGCTCGTATTTTGCAATTTTGGTGACAAAGTTTCGGGGATGGAGGTCATCGCTTACGGGCATTCGGAGTCGGAGGATGAGGGCGTTTTTGTATGTTTTCATGACCTGTTTAAGTGTTAATATTTGTTTCCAAAATAGTGAGATAGGTTATACAGACCTCCTCAACGTGAGCTTTGGTCTCCGAGTAGAATGAACCATCAAAGTTGGCAAGATCAGTCTCCACGAATCCAGGTCCACCAATTGGATGCTCATCATTATAGGTATAGATACATCCCGTAGCAAAGACAGTAATGTGAATACCCTTCAAGTAGCAAACATCAGTCAAGTTCAGCGTTCCGATAACATTGCTTCGAATCGTCTCCTCCTTATTATCCTCGCACCAATCGACATTTGGACGTCCTGTACAGCCAGCACAATTAAGAACATGCGTTGGCTTAATCTTTTCAATCTCTGCAATAACAAATTCACGGTTTTGCATGCGAACAGTGGTGCTGTAGACTTCCTTCCCCTGACTTTCGAGGAGGGTCTTGAGATGTCCTGTGGAGACTAGGTTAGCACGGTTCGGTTGCTCTTCAATGTGAGTGGGGTGCTAGACTAACCCGCAACCCAACCTTCTCCTCCCCAGATCAAAAAGCGGTTTGATGATGATGCCATGTTAAGATTTGTTTTGAGTTGATTTATGGGTTGATTTTAAAGATTGGAATTGAACATGTAAAGTGGTGAGATTATATGCGTGAAGAAAACTCCTTGAAAAGGGACGGTGAGCGAAAAGTGATGTGCTATATAAGCAAGTATCAAAGGATTAAGGAGGAGGCGTTGAGGCTGGATATCATGCAAGGAGAACTGAAAAAGTAACATGATTAATTGGTTGAGTGAATTGATACGAGGGGTACAGTTGTAGTGTAAGGGACGTATCCAATACATCCCTGGACGGTGAGAGTAATTTGTCTCTGATTATGTATCAGATGCAATTGGGAGTCTTAAAAAGATCTGACGGACAACGAGGGGTTCTTAGGTTACATAGTAGTACTGTAGTTCGTACAACTCGTCTGGAGTATATGAGTTTTGATTTGATATATCTCCAATATTTCCAAGCTCTTATATTGGATATACCTATATTAAGAGCTTCCGCTTTAGATGTCTAGAAACTCTCTGCAATCCCTTCCGCGCCTCGTAATCCATGTTTCGATAACAACCAGCCTATCACATAACGCAGACACTCATCTCCCTGGCCACCTAGACCTTTTGAGATCCTGAAAGCTTAGGGCAGCGTTGTTCCATGAACTGGTTAAACATAACAAAACATCATGGCACTTAACGGTTGGTAATGGTTCTTAAATGTGGAGTAATTTGTCATATGCTTCGTATTATTCTTGGGTATCAATATCTAAGTTAACACTCTACCTACTCTTTCACTACCCTCATAACCACATAATCAAATTCACTAGGCTAGCTCTGACGAATAAAGTCATTTCCCCATGTGATTCTACATGGGCGAGCCATTACTGCCACTGCTAGATCTAGATTTTAAGCTAAAACTAGTCCTCGGTGTCAATCTTGGAGGACGGTGGGCACTCTCCCGTCGTTTTTGTGCTAGATACTTGCCGAATTCCCACTTTCCCTTGAATGCTTGTGTGGTTGAAGTTAACTTTGGAGGCTTTTCAATATTCATGGGTTGTTCCTGATTCTTAAGCCAGTCCGTAACCTTTTCTGGTTTATTTAAGGCTGCCATAGACTTGCTGTGTGAAGAGAGTGGGTGTATTGATCTCTCCAGTGATGGCTTTGATGAACGATCTTGTGGTCTGCGCTCTGTGGAAGACATCTTTTCACTCATAATGAAAGAGGCCTCTTTCCAAATCGGAGGTGCCAACTCAATAGCTTTAGATTGAATTGATTGACCATTCGGTGTTCTAGGCGAATTCATCGGTGAAGCCAGCTTTTGAGTGGACGGGAGACTATCACGAGGCAAAGAACCTAGATCTGAAGATAATTGCAATTGACTTGAGGTTTCGAAAAACCGTCGTGGGGCAACTTTTTCAGGCTCTTTCAAAGCGCTCGTTGATGCCGCTACAGTCTCAAGCATTTTAGGTGCCTTTGACCGCGACATTGACGTTTCCGTTCTTGGAACGGTCAGCCCCTTTTCTTGCCTCCTAGGCGTGAAGTCTGTATTTGAAAATAATGGCGTTTGGTTTGTGGTTTCGAAAGGCCGTTGTGGGACGGCTATGTCAAGCTGTTTGGAAACACCTGGAACTAAAGTGTCGTTAGTATCTGCAATAGCCATCTGCTCACTAAACGGTTGCTTTGCAGGTTCTGATTTGTCGCTACTAGGAACACTTGATTGCTGCAAGGCAGGTCTTGCAGCGCCTTTATATTTTCTACGAATATCTTCAATCAAATCATAATCAGGAGATTCGGGTGACAAAGCAGCTTTGAGGCTTTCTTGAGTGGTTATTCGACCAATCGGTGTGGGATGGAAGAATTCGACATCAATGTCTGATTCCTTGTGGAATAAAATTCCAGTCATTTTGGTTGCACCGGTCCGGAGATGGTTCGAATACTCCTGAGCAAAGCATCGAACAAAATCATCCCATAATGCTTCATGAGGTTGTCTGATTGTTCCCAGCCATTCGAGATATACAAGTGCTTGTATGAATTGTTTTTTACTGCCAGCGTACCGTGAGTAAGTCTTGCGATACTCCTCAAAAAGTGAAATAGGCTTCTGCTCAGACTGATGGACCTGCCTCGAGCTTGACTGTGTCTCGTCAGGCAGGATCGACTTCCTGCTCGTGTCATCGTCGTTTGCGGTCATTAAAGGCGATGTTAAGTGGTCGAGAGGTCTATTGTTGTATGCAGAAAACTTTTCAGAGATTACTGTGCTAGGTAAGTCCTTCTCGATACTATCCTCGACAGTTCGCGAATCTTTTGGTGATGCTAGGCTTTGTAAGTCTTTCTCGATATCATCTTCGGCCATTCGCGAATCTTCTGATGGTGGTAGGCTTTGCAAGACCCTTCGCCTGATGGCTCTTGCCAATCCAGTCCTGTCCCTATAAGAGGTTTCTTCTTGACTGAAGCCTAAAGCAACAGGATCTGTTATTCTTCGTCGTTTTGCGGAACGGCCCCCGTTATAGTTTCGGTCTGGAGACTTTCGGCTTGAAGGCGAATAGTTCATGGAAGAGCTTCTATCAGTAGAGGGTGGGACGACATCAGAAGTAGCTCCATCAAGATTAGGAATTTGTAGAGGCGAGTAAGGGTGAGCTATAATCTGGCGTATCATATTACTATTAGACCATGATGATATATGTTGGTCACAAAGGTGTTGAAGTTTGAGATTATGTTGCTCGTGCTTATTTTGAAGCGTCTCGTTGAAAGCCTCGGTCGTTGGCGAAGGTGACTTGGGGGGCCGCGGTAGTGAGAATACCCCGGACTTAGGGATGTAGAAGTTGTCTTCGTCAGGCTCGTTTTGTGAGCTAGTGTAAGTTCCAGGGATGATAATATCTGAGGATAAATCTTTGTTGGGATGATTTCTCTGATTCGGGGTCTTTTTGACTTGTACTACACACATATGCCCAGCGGTTCCGGGCAGAGAATGTTGTGACATATGTTGGAGTTCATTTGCATGTAAATTGCTGCTCTGAATTTGATCGCCTAGGACATGCGGAACCTCCAAATCCATCTCCTCGTCATCAGAAGGGCTACTAGCTGGATTCCAGGTTGATTCTGTAGGCACTCTGATATTAATGGCAGAAGTTCGTGCGCTTTGTGCGACAGCGGGAGAAGGAGGAGGCGAGTTGACCATGCGCTTTCGAAAAGCCTCTAAAGTTGGCTCGTTAGATTCATTCTGACTAGGCATGTCAACACCTTTCTTAATTATCGCATTGTCAATAGGCTGCAAATGTCCTTTGTCTAAAGTTTGATCGGAAACATCGTTTTCCTCAGCCACTTGTCTGAGCCTTGGATCCGCTTCTGGGGTCCGGCTCCAAGAAATCCCAGACGCATCACTCGTTGCACTATCTGACTGATGGCCCTCGTCGTGGTCATGTATTATTTGAGACTGGGACAATTCATAAGTATACTCGACTTCTTCAGCATCTTTGTAAGAGCCTTTTAAGACGTCATTTTCATGATGGCTATCATCACCGTCTTCACTATCTTCTGCTTCGGCAGTATCTCGGTCTTGATCCAAGGTAAGATCTTCGGTGCTCTGTATCATATTCTTACGATAGGCTGAAGTCTGTGCAACCAGCCGCTTCTCGTGGAGTGCCAACTGGGCTTGCAGAATTGTTAGAGGAATAGAATCATGATTCTCTGACGATGAGTACCACGACTCCTCACGATTCAAGATATTCATCTGTTCTCTAGAAATCCGTTCATAAGAACGCGATATTAATGTTGAGTTATCCTGGAATGAGTGCGTCTCTTCAATTTGATAGACCTTACGTCTATTCGCAGTAGCAGAATCATTGACCATAAGCCTTGCATTGCTTGCACTAGACTTGTTGTTCCCTCGTATGCTATCGCTACCAATTTCTTGCTTATTCATAGAACGCTTTGGGGACAACCGTGGGATGTGTGCATCTGTCGTATTTCCTACATCATCTCTCTCCGAATTTGTCGCAGCGGACCTTGACTTTGGTGAAACTGGCTGTGCTACACTCGTAATATTGGCAGAGTCAAGTGATGGTCCAGGTTCATTGAGTTGAGGCCTAGTGCTCGTGTATGGGATGGCTTGCTCTTGGTTTCGTTGAATAACGCGTAGAACGTCTGGCACCTGCACTCCAGAAATCACATTCTTTTCTTTTCGGGATTCAGAAATCTGTGTCGCAAATTTCGAAGAGTATAAAGGTGGAGAGAAATGTGGAGATCTGGGTTCGAGATTTGAGTGAAAGTCGTTGTCGCAATCGTTTGGATTTAAGAGCTCTTTCATTGTAAGCAGTGTGCTAGCAGTAGTCCCTCCGAATTCTAAGGCACGAGCCGAGCCAGAGATTTGCTGACTCCCTTTGAGCTTAAAAGCTGGGATGTGAAGGTATATACCGGTCGATGGCTCTACTGCAACATTAAAGTCGCAAATCAGAGGTCGAAGTTAGTACTCCTGGGTATCTATTACAACTGAGACCATCATACCAATTGGCATTCCCCCGCTGCTAGTACCTCTCCTATTAGCCCCTCAAGTGCTCTTTTGTTCTTTTCCAAAAAGCTCTTCAAAAAGTCTTGCTGAAATATTGCTGCAATCTCGGTGGTACCATCAGACACTGTCATAAATTGAAGAGAATTCCGTACTTTGGTGCTCTAATATTAGTGTTAATAGATGGCCGTATTGGGAAGGGGCCAAGCAATAAACTCACACCGATTATTTGGATCAATCCGGGCTTTTGGAGCTTTATGGTAAGTTTTTCCTGCTCATAAGAAAATTGACTGTGAGACTTGTCGACATTTTGATTTACGACTTGCGTTGACTTTAGCCAAATCAATGCCTCTGCCAGAGACTGTTCGATATTCTGGGCGAGCCAGCCTCGTAAGAGAGTCATGATGAGAGACTGTAGTCGCGGCAGGTGTTATTCAAAAAGAATCTTTGTCCACGCAATCATGTCCAATCCAATCAATTATCTTCAGGTTAGAAATCCCAAGCTCACTCTAGATAGCTAAGTAAAAGTAAAGATGTGTCGGAGAGTAGCAAAAATCCATAATTCATGAATGGTCGTTTGGGTTCGTAAATAAAAATGGTATTGTTTATAGTTGGGAGTTGATGGTTCTGAATAGTCTGGAAGACGCGTTTTCGCGAAACCAATCTACTCGAGTACCGGCCGGTACAACCAACCTAGTACCCACGCGCATTGTGGCAGTGAAAATGTGGCTGATGGCGATCGGAAAACAAACCTTATCGAATATGGATGTTACCTATGTGCAAGATTCCAGTACCGGTGCTCATAACGTTTCTGATAAAAGATGCATCCCTTCTATTGATCCTTCCCAATAACAACCTATCTTCCTAGGTACTCTTAAAGCGCAAATAACTCGTGCTAAAGGCTCAGCGTTTTTAAATCTTATGATTTAATAGTTGTTGTCATAGAAATGCTGCCACCACTTTCCAGTTCGTGATTCTATCAAGCACGTTAATCTCATTTGGTTGACTATCCATATCCATCCAGCCAAAGAGCAGTCTGCACATTTTGTTCCTCAAGGCAGCCTATCTAACTTCACAAATGCATGACATGATTGCACAAACTGAAAGCCGTCGAAGCGGTCGCACAACTTTTGTTCATCGAACACAATATATGACTTGCTCTTGATACGGAGAGCATCGGTTTGTTAGAAATCAAGAATCAAGAGCTCTGAGATCACCACCGCATTTACAACAGGCTGAACTAGAAAGTAAAAGCGTGAGTAGAGAAGAAGATGTCATACCATGGCTCCCCAAGGCCTTCTGTGCGGATGCCTTTGTTGATTCCGCTAGCAACACGATCCCGTCGAGGATCGTTAGCATCACTTCCGGGGACCCCCGTCGACAAGGAACAACTGGCACAAGCTCTCGATAAAATACATAGTACTGCTTGTCAGTCGGAAACTCTTACGACGTTCAACGAATTCGCTTCTCCACCATCATCCTCTTCGAACCCTGAGAGTAAAGGCTTGGCTGGGGATATCATGCAGAATGGTTTGAGTGGTCTATACAGTCGTTTCAAAGGCGCTGTTGGAGTAGGAAAGGATAAAGCAGGAAGCTCTTCAATCAAAGGTGACACTGAAAGCCTCGATACGACGTCAATCAAAAGTCAGAATGTATCCAATGTCACCCCCACGTCAAAAGGTTCTTCTGGTCCCACACGAGAAGATTCGGGCCTCACTGCTTCGCCTATTCATCTTTCCACGGCATCGTCACAGCTGCAGTCTCCAACCGTATCTTCTTTTGTAGGAAATTCGTCCGAGATACAGTCACAGGCTATGAAATCATCAAAAACCTCGCTCTCGTCAGCACCTATATCGACAAAATTGGCGACCAGACCCCCAATCAATCCAATGGCGAAAACTACATCGTCGTCAGTCATCGTTCCTACCGTTGCAACCGTCAATGCGGTTGCCTTCAAAGAAGGCGAGAAGGCTCGATTGGGAAGTTCTGATGGAAATGTGCCGGATAAAGCAAACAAGAAAGGTGCTTCAGACAGATCTGAACCAGTTTCGGCGTCAGAATACGCTCATTCCGGCACTTTTGGCTCAGCTGCGGCTTCCGAAAGTAGGCGCTTTCCCGGCCAGTCTTCGGCTTTAGACGACTCGGTGTCTTTTGATTTTGAATCTTTGAAAAGCGAATCTGTTGGGCGAATGTCGCTAGGCAACTTAGATTCCAAAAAGGATTCTCAAGACGCTAGTTTCCGTACTAGTGATGCCAGCACTACAGGAAGGGCCAAATCCATGAGTAATCCCAAAACAGCGTCATCTGCACTCTCTTCCATAAAGACTTCGGATTCAAGATCCACTGCGGCACCGCGTCTTTTGATTCCAGAGACTGCAAGGCGGACCCCTGCCGTCGAACGCATAACACAATCGCATCTTCCTGGCTATCAGGCATCACGTGCCTCTTCGACAGACCGCAGTACCGCTGAAGCTAGCCCTGTTCATACGCCTGCACATTACCATGTGCAACATGACTCTTTTGGTGCAGACGAGCGGTCTTCACGCACTTACTCTGGCAGAACTCGTATACCCGGCACGACTACCAATGGAGGTAGCGCCGAAGTAGTCAGCGCTCGTTTGGAACAAATGAGAAAGCAAGTACTAAGCAAAGAATTTTGGATGGCTGATGATATATGTAAGGAATGCTTCTTATGCGGCGATCCATTTACCGCCTTTCGTAGAAAACATCATTGCCGGACTTGCGGCTGTATCTTCGACTCGAAATGCACATATACTATCTCAGGCCAAAGGTTTGGTGTTCAAGGGTCACTTCGGATGTGCAAAACCTGTCTCGACATTATAAATAGGCGCCACGACAGTAGCGGGTCCGATGACTCTGATGATGAATCAGGCTTGCCAACCTTTTTCCATTCGCAACAGGCTAAGTTTGACTCTTCTACATCAGCCAAAATAGATTTACCAGAAGGCACGGGCACTGACCCTATGAAGATGGGAGATGAATCTAGACCTCTGGCAACTCCAATGATGGCCATACCTGCTACACGACGAATTGGTGATTCTTCCAATAGGCGTTCGGCCATTCTAGAGATAGATGCACCACAACTGAGTCGTCCAAGCTCATCCAGATCATTGAAGGCCTTGTCTGCTACTGCGAGACCTCCATCTTCTAGCCACAGACGACACCAGTCAAAACACAACTTTCTCGGTCGCTTCAAAACCCCTGCTGGAGATAGAGCACCATTCCATCGGGGATTGATTGATGATATCGGGAAAGCAGCGCGTCTACCTGCATTTCATGATGATAATATCATCGATCCCGATCTGGCACCATACATGTCGGATGAAGGTTCAAGCGCAGATGAACAAATGAGTATTTTTGCGACTCTGAACAATAGTAATACAACAACTCCTGCTTTTGAAAATGACAGGGCAGGTTTCGGCTCCCTGCTAAACGCTACTAAAAGACACAGGGCTAGGACTGGTGACAAAAGTGTCAGTGGGATCAGTTTTACAAGTCGAGGCTTAGAAGATGCTAGCGCCACCGTGGGAGCTTTCACACGACCGAATCGTCGACGTAATTTAAGCGTCGCTAGCAACACTTTACACCATACTCGACCCTCACCAAGGCAAACGAAGCCAACAAGTTTAGCGAAGGGATTTGGGAATGTAAGTGAAGAGGTCACTACCCCGGAACACTCATCAGATCCGCCCGCCCCAGCTGGCATGGCTTCGAAAATGACTCGAAGCGCATCGATGCGAGATGCTAAGGCTCCTGCAGTGGAGTTGAACAATGTCAGTTTGCATCATGTTCGTCGGCTACTGCACCAATTACTTGAAGACGCAGACGTTCCAAACGTTGCTTCCTGGGAGAAGGCCCTAATCCCTATTCTTCTCCAATGCACAGATGATGTCAATCCGGATGTTAGACGTGGCGATGACATAGATATTCGTCATTATGTGAAATTGAAAAAAATACCCGGAGGAAAACCCGGTGACACCGCATATGTGTCCGGTGTTGTTTTCACCAAGAATCTCGCCTTGAAAAGCATGCCCAGGAGTATCTCGAATCCCCGCATTGTCATTGTATCATTTCCCATCGAATATCAACGCCACCAATCCTCGTTCATGAGTCTGGAGCCTGTCATAGCTCAGGAAAAAGAATTTTTGAAAAATATGGTGAACCGAATTGCATCCCTACGTCCCCAACTTCTATTGGTCCAGAAGCATATTTCGGGGCTTGCCTTGCAATATCTCGCCGAGGCAAACATTGCTGTTATTTACAATGTCAAACCCTCTGTGATAGAGGCAGTTTCAAGATGTGCTCAGACAGAAGTTATCTCGTCTATCGATATGGTAGCTCTAAAGCCAGTACATATTGGTAAAAGCTCCGGCTTTGATGTGAAAACCTATGTCCATAACAACATTCCGGGAAGAAAGAAGACATACATCTATTTATCTGGGTGTCCAAAAGAGCTAGGATGTACCATAGCTCTCCGTGGTGCTAGCATGTCTGTACTTGCTAAAATGAAGCAAATTACCGAATTCATGGTATACGTGGTTTACAACTTGAAGCTTGAAACATGCCTAATGAGGGATGAGTTTGTCCTAATCCCATCTGTTGCAGAAAGTGGCAATCTCTCACCTGCAAGACAAACCAGCCAGACTTCGAAACCCACAGGATTAGATGCTTTACCTTACCAAGACACGGTGGTGGCAGCGAGCAATGTATTGCAGGCTGCTGCTGAGTCGGAAATGGTCAAAAGCTCGCCTCAAGATGACCTCGGAAATGGCGAAATCATGCCCACTGATAAGGTCCTCGCCAGCCCGGAGAGTATTACAGAAGTTCAGAAGGCTACATCGACCGACCAAGAGCCTGAAGTTTCCAAAATGATTTCTGCCCATGAGTCACATGTTCACTCTTCTCATGATGACCATCTACCGGAAGATGTACCTATGCCAACCTTTTATAGCGATATGGTTGCTAAGCATCAAACTAAAATACTATCCGCCTCCCCATTTGTTAAGTTTGTGCAACCGTATCTATTGGTCAGGGCTAGAGAGCAAGAAAGAAGACTCGTTTACTTGAAAAGGCTTCGGGACCAAGACATGTTCGAAGAGCAGACTGATACAGAAAAGTCGAAACCGCAGAAATTCCAGCTCATAAAGCCAGATATGGTTCACGAGAGTATCAAAAACGCACCAAGGCAGATCATGGAAGTTTTGCATGCTGTACATGATGCTGAATATGATAAAGCTTTGCATAATTACCAGACACAAACCCGTCAATGGGAGAATTATATTCAAGGGAATCTCAACCTTTTTGATCCTTATGGACACCAAAATATCACTGTGCTATACACCGTCGTCTGCACCGAAACTTCAATTCCCTGCGCTGGGCCCGACCTTCTTACCCTCGCATTCTATACTGAGCACGAAATATCAGCAGAAATAGATCCTGATTGTACATTGGGTCAATACGTTGAAGATCTATGCTTGACGATCAACACAACGTGTACATCCAATGGTTGCGATCGGAAGATGTCCGAGCATCATCGAACATATGTTCACGGCGAGGCTCGGATAACTGTATTTGTTGAAAGATCACCTTGCAAGATCAAAGGGCTTCAAGATTCCATTTTGATGTGGAGCTATTGCAAAAAATGTCAAAAGGAAACTCAGGTCATGCCCATGTCCGAAAGTACTTGGAAATACTCTTTTGGGAAGTATCTAGAGCTTTCTTTCTGGAGCAGTGATTTGCATCTCCGAGCAGGATTCTGTCCCCATGATTTGCATCGTGATCATTTGCGGTACTTTGGCTTTCGCAATGTCGCCATTAGAATACATTATGATCCGATCGACCTCCTGGAAATTGTTGTACCTCGGACAAGAATCACCTGGAAAGTAGATAATGATCTCAGATTGAAAAATGATCTATTTACAAAGATAGAAGAGCGATGGAATCGGTTCATGACATCGGTAATTTCTAGAATTAAGGGGATCAACATCGACAGCGTGGCACCCGAAAAGGCGGACGCCTGTAAAGCCGAAATAGATCGCTTGACGAAGCGTGCACAAGAGGAGCATACTACACTGTTACGCAAATTGCAGGATAAATATATGGAATCGAAGTATTATGAGATCATCCCACTGAATAGAGCCGTAAGAGCGATGCAAGAGAGAGTAGCGGAGTGGGACGACGCCTTTCAAGATTTTGATGGAAACTTCTTTCCTTCCGAAAAGGATATCCGCCGCCTTGCCGCAATGCAACTCAAGAGAATGTTCATGGATCGAGACGCATCTCAAACTTCGTTGGTATCTGTAGAGACAAACGATCTATTGTCTGATGTCGAAGAAAAGTCCATTATCCCAACTCCAACAGAGACGACATTAGAACCAAGCGCTGGGGCAGACGATTCGCTGGATGTTCACCAAGCAGCAGTGGAAGACAATTTAGTCGCAAACATGACCACGGTAGATTTGCAGCCCCCCAATCAGACCCAATCGTCTAGGACTGAGGAATCTGTTCAAGCCCCGCGGCATGAAGGAGTTGATCATCTCGATCTCGCTATTCCAGACACCACAGACCAGCAGAATGCTTCGGAAATATTGACACCAGCAGATGCATCTGACTTCCTCACATCGAGTCCGTCTGAAATAGAGAGTCCTGCAGATGTGGGTACTCCAACGACGCCCTTTGAAGCAACCCTGTCCGAAAAAGTTGAGAGACTACGCCGGGCAAACCAGTCATTTTCTGCCGAACTAGGTCAGTTACAGTCGGAAACTTCTGGGATTCCAAGGCCGACGGAACGTACAACCTCGCGCCGCATTGGTGCCTCGCCTCCTCTCAATCGCACTCAATCGCAGCCTGCGAATACATTACGTCGCATGCAGCCAATTTCTAGCAAAGCATATCATCGGCTGGGAGATGCGCGGAAGTCTAGTGACACCCAGATCCCATTGCTTGAACCTTTGAGGTCATCTACAACGGAGACTGCAAAACCTACTGATAAGCGATTGTCGGAAAGGTTAGGCTCACTCAAACAAAATCGTAAGGCAGGACACTCCTTGATTCCAAGATCTGTGCAAGCGAAACGAAAGGAGTCTAAAGTTACCACGTTGGCAAAACATTTTGAACAGTTGAGTAGGGAGTTTGAGAAAGAACGCCTACGAGACAGGAGACGAATGGCGGCAAAAGTAACACAATCGCGAGCTTTTCCCAAAGCATCCTCCAAGCCCATTGTCGAGATATACAAAGATATTAACGAAGCTGTTGAGGAGCGCGGACCCCCCGACGAAGTTTCTCTGGACACCGAACCCACGCGTATAAGTACAGAATCTACGAGCATGACAGAAGGGCTTGCCAAATGTAACATGGAGCCCTCGAGTAGTGAGACGCAGCCTAACTCACCAAATGACACTTCTGCAGCTATTGAAGGGGCTATTGCTGACGCTGAAGCTGATGACAGTCACCAGAACTTTAGCCAAACTGGTTCTGACGATGAAGGGGCTGCCAGCGACGCAGATCATTCTTTACTTGAAGATCTTTTACCAGGTGCGGTGGAGCTAGCTGAATCACTTCATGCGGGCAAGCCAAATTCCGATCTTCCGCTGGAAATACCTAAGCATGAAAAGTCTAGTCTTATGAAGATGTTGACTAATTTCTGGGCGGAGAGATCTGCCAGTGGCTGGACGCAACTTGAGTATCCCATCAATGCCGGTGAACACATATTTGTCGATTCTGATGTCATCATTAGAGAGGATGAGCCAAGCTCGTTGATAGCTTTCACCTTGTCTTCGGAACATTATCGAGCTAAGTTAAATGATCTTCGACAACAAGGTCCAGCTTGCGCAGAAGCTCAAGAGCAGGACACTATGCCTACATGCGGCACACCTGATATTTGTGATGATGGCATCAATCAAGCGGAGGTCGAAACTTCTTTATTGCGTGCCACTGGTACTCATCTTGCGTACTCTTTTGTTGACTCCTCGGCAAGAATGCAATGCAAGATTTTTTTTGCGGAACAATTCGATGCCGTGCGAAGAAAGTGTGGAGTAGCAGATCGAATCGTAGAATCGTTATCGCGATGCTTGAAATGGGATTCCAAAGGTGGGAAGACAAAATCCGTCTTCTTAAAAACACTTGATGATAGACTGGTCCTCAAGCAACTGTCACCTATTGAAACGCAAGCATTTCTCAAATTTGCGCCAGCTTATTTCAACATCATATCCGAGGCCTTATTCCATGAGCTGCCTACCGCCATTGCCAAAATGCTTGGCTTTTTCCAGATTGTTATAAAAAATCCTGCTACAGGCACCGAGATCAAGTGGGATGTGCTGGTAATGGAGAACCTGTTCTATGACCGTTCACCTACCCGCATCTTTGACCTTAAGGGGTCTATGCGAAATAGAAAGATTCAATCCACAGGAGAGCAGAATGAGGTGCTTCTGGATGAAAATATGGTTGAATTCATCTACGAGTCTCCTCTTTTTGCACGCGAGGTAAGCAGAATGACAGCAACGCAGATTACATCACTAATTCACGCATAGCATTCAAAGAAACTTCTTCGATCCGCTATTTTCAACGATACCCTTTTCTTGCAACGAAATGATGTAATGGACTATTCTCTAATGGTAGCTGTCGACGAGGTGAGTACTCCTTAGCCGACTGTGATTGTATAACGCTTACATGATAAAGGCACGAAAGGAACTTGTTGTCGGGATCATAGATGTGGTCCGCACTTATACCTGGGACAAGAAGTTAGAATCATGGATCAAAGGTACCACCACTATATTGAAAATCGAATATTAATCAATATGTCATACTAACCAACAACCCAAGACCGCGGTTTCGCTGGTGGTGGCCGCAATCGTCCTACTGTTACTTCGCCTAAGGTTCAGTTTCGCTTTTTCCAACACAAATGCCATGCATGGTCTAATGAATACATAGGAATACAAAAGTCGTTTCAGAGAAGCAATGAATAGATACATTCTTCAAGGTAACCAACCACATCTCCTCTTCCTAATAGTCTTAAATATACTAATAACAATAATCAGCACCCAATAGTTGGCACCAACCTCTAGATGGACGACCAAGGAGAGACTCGAGACAGACAGTACAGGAGACGAGAACACCGACTTTGTGATAGATCATGGGGAAGATCTAAGGAGGATAGATACATGATATGGCGCGGGACTTTAACATGAAAAGTGTAGTGGGCATGCACAACAGCTGTTGGGTGCATAGATAGCACGATGTACTGGAAGGTGATCACTTAATAAGATGGTCATGTTTTCTTGACAACAGAAGGCCGCTCCATTCGAGAGAATAAATGGAGGTATTCTAAATTAATGATACTCATCGCATGGAGACGCGTATTCTATGACGTTCAATGTGTGAGAGAACTATGACGGCAACAAATCCCTTAATTTCCTCGATCATCATGCCCAAAAGTAAACAAACAACATTCACATCACCAAAAGAATGAGAACACCAGGATCATCATTCGAAAGTATCATTGGCATTAACATTAATTTATTTTTGGCTGCACTAGCTCTCAAATTTTCTGACTGCTCTTTTTTAAGTTTTTGACTTCTTTTTTAAGTTTTCTGACCTCTCTTCTTTGGTTGCTGTTTCCGTCTCGAAGTATTGGAGTCTTTTTGAAGTTGTTTCTGAAGTTGCTCATTGACAGCTGCGGCGTCATCTTCCTCCTGGGTAGGTTCATCAGCATTGTCGACCTCACTTTCTTCGTCAGATTCTATTCCAAACGCTTTATCAATAGTTGCGGGATCAGCGACATCATCAAGCTCGACACCACCATCTTCATTGTCACTGCCAAAACCATCAAATCTGCAGGGTATGTTAGTTTGGGGTCGGACCATTTTAGATTCTGCTTGGGGACTTACGAATCATCATCTTCATCATCAGCCACGGCCAATGAGGCGATATCTCCAATGGATGTGTCAGCTACTGATTCAACACCATCATCATGCTTTCTCTTCCTTGGCATCTCGCCCAATCTACCCTCTCGACCTTCAACTCCGGTTTCTTGTGGACCTTCTAATTTGGGGGGAGGAGTGAACCAAGGAATCTTGCCTCTTAAGAAGTCATTGAGGACCATCTTGGCTACACCATCAACATCAGGCTCGCCTCCATGTAACAATCTTCCTCCCTTTCGTGCGAGAAGCTCTAAGAACTCAATGTGGTTTTTGTATCCCTTGAGAGCATATGTTCTTTCAATGTGTTGGGGTTTAGTTTTACTCAGAACTGCAGGAATGTATTGTTCTGGGTGTTCAACATTCTCCACTCTGACTACACCTCGTAGTAGAATGTCTTGGGGTGTGTCAGTAGTACTGGGAGGAACTACTCCAGGGCAATCAATGAGATAAATACGTTTCATGAGTGTAATGTATTGCCAAACTTTTGTTTCACCCGGTATTGGAGCTACTGTGCAGACTTTCTTTTTTCGTAATGTGTTAATGATTGATGATTTGCCAGTGTTTGGATAACCGATGAAGCCAACTGAAACCTGTTTGCGATCGGCATGTAGAGAGGAGAATTGGCGGAGGAGTTGTATAAGGGATCCTTTTCCGAAAGAATTTGTTATTGATGCGTGGAAGGCAAGTGTGGGGTAGTCTTTGGAGAGCGATCGTACCCAAGCAGCCTGCAGTATAATTAGCATATATAATTAATAATACTGCATGTAAACTGATAGTGTTGTGTATACTGGTGAAATGTATGAATCATTACTAAGAGAACCACCACAAGCCACTAACTAAAGAGGAAGTGGAATCAACTCAAACGAGACATTATCAAACTCTTTACGACAGACTCTCCAAGACGGTGAGCTGCCTACTCAAGACCCGAGGACCAAGAGCGGCGAGAATGAACTCAATCTACCAAAGTTGTAACAGACTTCCTTCCATTGCGACGAGCATAGAATGCAGAAGGTGCCTTGACTTAACGATGGAGTGTGGAGATAAAGACGGAGGGTTGGATATGCATAGTGGGAAATGGAAGAAGATCTAGACTTACAGCAACCCCGGTAGGCACCAAATCGCACTTGTTAAGTACGAATATCAGATGCTTATGTGGTGCTTCATCCTTGATGTATTTTTCAACTGTCCGACAACGAGTTCCCAAAGGATCTCTGGCATCTAAAACATGTATGACCACATCTGAAGAATCAATAACTTTGTAAAGCTCATTCCATATACGTTTGCTTTGACCTTTGCTGAAGATTGCTTCGCGGGCACTGGTGAGTTGTCCATCGTCAATTGCAGCAGCTTCTCCGACGGCCACGGGATCATTTGAAGTTCCACTCAAAAGCTTTGCTTGTTCGAGACGATCCAGATATGTGTCGTGGCTCTTGACGCTGTCATCGGCAAGATCTTCCAATGAACTGACACCAAGCTTTACTCTCTTCCGTTGTGCTCTTGGACCAAAGGTATCACTGAATGGAGACGCCTCGACTGCCATTTTGGCTTGATGTTGCTTCAATCCATTTTTCCCTTGCCCATCACGGATCAGTGACATTGGCAATTTGTTAGTTTTCAGCAGCACCGAGTAAGGATCACTCGCTCGTTCAGCCATTGCGTCTCGGAAAGAGCTCAAGGCCTCTTGGCCGATGACTCTCGAGTTTGTAAACCATTTTCTATTGGGCTCAATTCGTGCTGGCTTGGTTTCTCTACTTTGGAAGGTTGCAGATTGAGTGATCTTTCCTGCAGCGTTGTGTCGAGCTTTGCCCTCATTAAACATATTCAAGGTCTTGGCCTGTTTCGCAGTGCTATTGAATTAATTAGGGATTTGTTTCTGTCAAAGATTTATGTGAAAGCAGGAACATACCGATAAAAGTTCTCGCCCTTGGTCTTAACATTGGACATGCCATCTCCTACTTTGCCTTGCTTGACCTTTCTGGCCGCTTCTTTCTTACCGGTACCCATTTTGATGATTGTTGCGCACTGCGCTGTGAAAAACTTTGGTTTGAGGAAAAAAAAGTATAGAGACGCAGAATTGTTTGTGTTCAGAAAAAAAAAGGTTTTATCAGTTTCGGCTATGTGGCTGAAGTGCGTCACGCTAAAAAAGTGTTGCAAGGTACGCTAGTTCCAATTCATATTTCCGCTAACCAAAGATATTTTATCAACATCGGTTGTGAGGTGAGGACGGCGAGTTCCTTTGCTATATTGATTTCAGGACCCTGGACTCAACCATCTGCCAATTCACTTCTCGTCCCTTCGACACTCGTTGCCTTCATTTATTACGGTAGCGTTCGAACATTATGTCTTCAACCATGTCGAAAAGTTCCCTGAGCTTCGTTGGACGACGATGTAGGCCAAGTCAATCAACTGCGATCTCGTCTCGAAATTTCTCCACTACTGCCTTATGTAGCGCCATTGGTCCGGAAAATCCCAGGTTTATCGAAATACCTTCCACTCTACAACCAGACGCCCAAGGGCAACGAGACATTAAGGGAACTTTACCACCCCCTCGAAACCTTTTCCCCAATCGCGGACCTGACAAAATTTCCAAAAAATATCTAGATGCCGTAACTCGCGAGCCGGCGAAGCCTTCCAGCAACCCAAATGATTATGCTGCGTGGAAGCATCGACTAGCAACCCAACGACGGGAAAGCTTGAAAGAGGCATTGGTGAAACTTCACAAGAGAAAATTAGACCAGGAACGGATAGTCGCAGGCAACAGTCGCTCGAAACGACAGGCCAATGAGAAAAGATTGAAGGCTCCCCAGCGAGAGGATGAGAGGCTGATGAATCCTACCATCACGGAAGCTATGTCGAAACTGCAAGTTGGTTTTGTTCCAGACCCAGAAAGAGAAAGTGAGCTGGCACAGAAGGCATTGAGGGTGCAGAGGAAGGAAGCCGAAAGGGAGGAACAGAGGAGGAATGCGTTGCATACGCTCTATATGAATGCTAGGTCATTCATCACGACCGAGGAGCAATTAAATGCCAAGATTGAGGAGATCTTCACATCTCCTTTCGACAAGAACTCGCCGGACAAGACAAATATTTGGCAGGTACACGAAAAACCACCCACCGTCCAGGATATGCTTTCAGGCGTCAATAACAGCCAGAAGACCACACTCGGACAATACTCATCTCCTGCTGTTATCACTGGATTACGAATGCACCACATCGCAGAGAAGCTGACAGGTGGAAAAATGGACTATTGATTCCTACATTTGAGTGCATATTTTGTATCATAACAAGTCTTTCAGAAGCATCAACGGCGCTTGTTTGTACAATATTTGACGATATGACCCGTTCCTCGCGTCAATTGTATGCCTGTCCTTCGCAATCCGAGTTTATCTAATGTCACGGTGTTTATGTGATCTCAATATCAATTGATGTTGCTTGCTTTGGAGTGGAGCTCTCCTGCACATTCTGAAAAATCTAAACCGAGAAACATACAAAAAGTGTATGTAGTGCAGCTCTGATTTACGAGTATTTGATCGGCCATGGCGATCAGGAGGTGCATCATTGAAGAGCAATAATCCGTATCTAGTTGGAGGAGCAACCTAACTGGGTGGAGAAATTAAATCAACTTTTAGACAATAGTACACTAGGAGTTATATAATCTGAAATGGGGAATGCCAGGCTTGTAGTAAGGAGTTAACGTTGGCCACCTTGTTATACTCGAGTATCATACAGAAACATGCTCCCTCTCGCTTAATCCCAATCTTTATTTCCCCTCTTCGTTCTTTACAAAGATCGCTGTCACAGAGCTTTCATAATTCCCAGACCTACCACTATGAACGACTATCCTTCCACCTTCCTACCTACCCCTACCTCGGTACTTTAATGCTATTTTCGGAATTGCGATCACGATTTAACCTATCCAATCAAACCCGCCTTCGAATGACATCTATTGCGAGTTCAACAGACCCGAAAGTTGCCTTGATATATGCCTTCATGAATGTTATCAGAGGAACAAAAGGATTTTCTCCTAGAACCCCTCAAGAGTAGGTAGCGAATGTAGAGCTTTAGCTTCAAACCGGTAATGTCATTGAGACTTTCAGTAGCTGCAAGGCTGATGAAAGAGAGGGAGTGGGTTGAATTTCGATTTGTTTGAAATGGTTGAATTTTTTGTACGATGAGGTAGAATTAATATGGCAATGGATGTTGGCAAGCACTTGAAGAAAATAATGCTCTAGAGAGGAGAGTTCGAGCTTCATAGATATCGAATGCGGGTGTTAAACATTTTGCTCAATGTGCGGACCGCTAAACTCTGCTTGACGGATTGTATAAATCATAGCTACGTTATGAAAACTCGAACTCATAGAGATTCAAATCCAGATTATGTATGGTTTTCTTTGTGTATATTATTAGATCCATCCAGTGAAGTAAGATACTAATCGTATAGGATGGACAAGAATGAATTTAGATATGTGGCTAGATAGATGATAGTACTCGGCAAACAAGAGATTTGGGAATTGGGGACTCCTTTTTTAAAAGGAAAAGAAAGATGGTACGAACAAGCACTTTCCAAAGTTCCAGTTGTTCTAGTTTGCAGCATCTTGACACTAGGTGTGTGTTTGCAAGATTTGAAAGGATCTCGACCTCGAAAGCTCCAATGCAATTTGACAAGCGAACGAAACTTTGTGTGAGATTGATACGAACTATGGTGGAGAAGTGACTAGGTACACTCGAGTAGGTTCCCCTGGATGGAGTAGATGAAATCTCCAAACTATTCTCTAGGACAACATAACCTTATACTAAGAGTGATGTTGACTCAATGAAAACTTTGTACATGAATTGCTTCCATCTACAAACATTTTCGTTCGTGAAAATTACGAGATCTCGTAAGCACACAAAAGGGATCTAGGTGAGGTTCCACTTGTTACAAGATAGGTAATACTTAATAAATATACATAGTGGCGCTCGACAGGGGTTAATGTGAAGGGGGCAGAATGAAATCAAGATATGATATGATATAATGGGACTTTCGGATGAAAGAAGAGACGAGGCGCCCTCGATTATTCTCTAAGTTCTTTGCAATCTTCTACCTACTTAAATTTGTATATATAAAACATTCACTCTAAAAGTTATTAGGTAGGCATGTTATTGGGAATATCTTCTTCAGATTCAGAATTCAGCATCACTCACATCTTCAGTCTCACATTATACCATTCAACTGCCCAAAACAATTAATACTGAGTGAGGACCGAAATATTGGAGCCTCGTCCAAATCAACCTTGTCAGCGCGATTAAAATACAAGCAATTGCCGCCCGCGACCTCAGCCTACCCCTTCCTACCGACCTCTTATAACGGAAAAGATCAATTGTCAGCTTAGACTTCGATGAGGTGACCAATCTTCCACGAAGAGCTTTGGTATTGCGCCTGGAAAATATCGTTCAAGCCCGTAAACACCATTGTTCTACGATGCACCCTGTCCGTGTTCTGTCAAGGCGGCAGGATGGCTTGTCTTCCGATGGAGCTCCATCAACCACAGAATCTAACCGTCCCTCTACGACATCATCTGTGGATCCATCGCCGACCATTCCTACTGTCACTGCTACTGCTGTTGCTACTCAGCCGAATCAACAACCTCAATCTAGCTCTGATACTAAATCGACTTATGTTATTGTATGTACCTGGCATCTTTTTCTCATGAACATGTGCGAAATCGAAATTCATTCTGATAATTATCTATTGCAGGCAATCATTATCACCTTAGTCGGACTTTTGGCATTGCTATTTGCAATTTACCTCATCCGTCAAACCCGCATAAAACATAAAAACCCAAAATATATACCAACAATATTTTTGAAAAAGGCATGGGAGAGTTGGGAACCGGAAGCTCATCGATATCGCCTGCCAGAACAGAATGATCCCCACGAGTACACAGGGGCAGCCGGTGTATCTGGTGTTGGTAGAAGTTTATCAGGTCACCCACCTTCATCGTTCAATAATGCCACTCGAACTGCCGTCGACAATATCGCAAACAATACCGCTGGAGGGGTTGATAGAAATACCTCGATTCGCTCGGTAATGACTTTACCGGCTTACAATATGACACCGGGACAAAATGAGCAAGTATTAGGGCGAGAGGGCGATCGAGGAGGTATTGATGTCGTTTTGGAATATCCAGAAACTATTAATGAAGAAGAGACTCAACGAGAGGCAGAGATGGAGGCATTGTATCAGGTTCGACTTGCGAGACGACGTGAAAATGAGGAACGAGAAGAGAGGAGACGGTTAAGAAGAGAGGCTAGAGAACGAGGAGATCATGTTGCGTTAAGAGAACTTCAATCTCGACCTGCGAATACCACTACTACTGGACCATCGGTCGAAGAGCTCAGAGCAGAGCATGATAGGATAAAGAAAGAACGGCAACGAGCAGTTTCGTCGGTTGCATATGGCGACTTGGGAGTCGCAAGACATGACGGTACACGACTACGCGCGAATAGTGATGAAAGTGAACGACAAGGATTGCTTGGCGATGCAGCAAGTATGGCCGCAAGCAGCCACTATCATCGAAGAGAGCGAAGCGCAAGTTCGGTATTAAGTATTGATACGGTGAATTCGGATCTGCCTTCGCCGGGATATACGAGATCTCGAGCAAATTCCCGGCCAGATAGTCCACTTCGTCGTTCTGTAGGCCCTGAGGACTCAAGTGATAATCGTGAGGATAGAGCTGGAAGTAGCCCTGAGATGATAGATCATGACGATATTCCTTTGAACAGTCCTCCTGGATACGAAAATGTATCGTTAGATACACCACAAGCAGAAGCATCGGCCCTACCACATCACATGATGGAACCTCCTCCCGATTATACAAGCCCAATATATGGGAGAGGAGAGGGGCCCACTTTGGAGAGTGCGGGGTATCGAAGATCGCAAAATCTGGATGAACTGATGACAGAAAGAAGGACAAGTACCCACAGCACACATTCAGGTCTCTTGCCCCGAGATGATAGGCGTTCATCTACACGATCAACTCGAGGTGTGGGCGGCATCCCACAACTACCTAGTCTACGGTTGGGCTCTTTGCCCTCGATTCACGTCGACCCAGGAAGTCCAATGACATTGGGAGCTACGGAGAAGGGCCATAGCCCCCACGACCAGAATCACTTTGGTTAGACCTTTCATAGGAAAGGAGACGAAATCTTTATACGAGTAATGAATCTTGAATAATCACATACCCACAAACATACGGTTGAACCTTGGAATTTCAACGCATATACAATCCTTCCTTAAAGCACATCTTTGCCTTCTACATGCAAGCAATCCTTACTTTCTATACCCGCTTTTATTTTTCGTAATAGTTGTCACATACTTTTGATCTTGAGCATGGCGCTTTCGGGGGGGTGTTTGGGTTTCCGTGCTTGCTTCTTTGGGTGTGTTTTGAGCTTGAGCCTTTGTTTAGGTATCGAATGCAGCGTAATGCAGACCTGTTGTACATAAAAGCAAGCAAGCGGTATGAAGCTGGGTTGGAGTAATCTAATTGGAGTGGGGGGGCTTGAGTCTGGTTGGATCGGAAATCTTTGAGAAATGGATGGGATGGGGTGGGAGAGTCTGATTTAGTTACAGGCTATGTAACTATACTCTGCTGTGACTGACTTGGCTGATTAATTAGTTCTAGCATCAATATTCATATCTTATTGATTCTTTCATCGATCTACCTACCTCTTCTACAAAAATCCATTGTGCTGCATCTGTGTAGATCGCTATGTGTATTCGTATTCCACGTCTTCAGAGACGAGAAAACAGAGAGAGGGCTGGACACCAACGTCGGTGACTCTATCTCCTCTGCTGGCACCCACCCTTCGAGTGATTCCCTCCATTCCCCAAGGCATAAGCCTCTTTAGACCATAACTCTCACGCCTTCTCATTCTCCCTCTTCCACATCACATTCCCATCTCTACTACCACCACAAACTTCATCTCGGACCCCCCTCCCCCTTCCCCTCCTAACCCCTCACTCAACATCCCCACTATCTCCTCCCTTCTCCCAATTTCCCCTATCTCAACCTCAGTCTCAACCTCATTTCTCCATATCTCCATATCTCCATATCTCCATATCTCCATATCTCTATCTTCCGCCACTACCTTTCACCCTATCAACTCACTATATCCGTTTATTCCCAGAATCTTCATACCTTCGATTTCGGCATATCATAGAGAGCATAGAGAGCATAGCATAGCATAGCATAGAAAGTTTCAATCAATCTTTGTCATCCCCTATTCTCTATTTCCCATTTCCCATTTCCCACTTCCCATTTCCCATGCCCTGTCTCCTACTTCCATATCATATGACATCATCCCTCAGTAACATCATTTCCCATCATTGCTTAGTATCAACCTTCTTAACCCCCTAACCCTCCATGACTATGGCTCTTTTCGCTTCGTTTCGCATCATATCATATCATATCATATCATATCATACCACATCATGTCATTATTGGCGTTGTTCCTCCTCTCTAGTAACTGATCTCTGCAGCTAAAAAAATGCTAATATTTCATACACTTCGGATCCAGGGATGGGGAGGGGGAGGAGGACCATGATAATTGATTACTAGGTAACTGTGGTCTTCTTGGAGGATGTGGATAGGAAATACTGGAGGGGAGATTACTGTTTTACAAGAGGTAGGAATATTGTGTAGGTATGTTCAGCTTGTTAGGCTTTAGATGCTTTGATACTTTATACTTGGATACTTTGATACTATATTTTGACATAATTTGGTTAGATTGAACTCATAACGATGCATGGTGACGTTCAAGTCTCGTTCTGCTTTAGATCAGAAAGTCACTATAGATCTAAACTGTTAAATCATCGATTCACATTTTGAAAACTAATTAAGTAAAATACTTGCCAAAATTTATTTTCATTTCTCAAATTGATATCTCTGTATTCTGCGCTGTAACCTAACCCCCCTAAAACATCTGCTAATAACAAAGCTGAACTCATCACCACTATATATATCGCAACGAATGCAAACACTGGCTAATGCATACTATTCCCTTATGAAACAATGCATACCATCTCCCCAACACATATCTGCAATTAACCACTCTACCTAGATTCCAAAGCTGCCATCATCTCAGCGTTGATTCTGGCAATTTCGGCCCTAGCAGCAGCATCTTCTGGATCCTCGTCATCTTCTGGCTTAGCTTCAACGATTGGAGTGGCCTCTTTGGCGGGTGAGGAGAGAGTCTCCGCCTCGGCTGGTGCTTCAGTTGAAGACGCAGTCTCTCTCTTCTCCTCCTCTTCCTCCTCCTCCTCCTCCTCGGCTTTAGGTTCTATTGTGGCTGGTGCCATTGGCTCGACAACAATCTCTTTGGTTGGTAAAGCTGGAGCTGCCTCAACTACTACAGGCTTTGGAACCTCAGCTTCCTTGATTGACTCTTCAGTGACAAGAGACTCTGCCTGGGCAACAGGGACCTCGATCTCTTTCTCTGCTGGAGCGTCGACGGGCTTTATCTCCTCTCCTTCCAGCTTAACTTCAGCATCTTCGGTCGTCGCATCTCCAGCTGCAGGAATAGCTTCGATCTTAGTAGAAGTTGGCTCCTCTTTTGGTGCATCTTTGGCCTCAGTTACTTGCTCCTTGGCTGCCTTCTTAGGCAACTCGGCCGACTTCTTCTTTGGCTCCAGTTTTGCACCAGTCTTGGAAGCTGGAGCTGTAGACTTTGAAGGCACAGTCTTAGTTGCGGTAGGCCTGGTCGCTTTCTGAATTGCATGAGAGGCAGTCTTCGTATCATGAGCCTTCGAGTGTCCAAGGCTGCTGGATGCTCGTTTTGCCGATGGTGATCGCTTTGGTGGAGGAGACTTATCGGTTAATCTGGAGGCAGACGAAGCTGTTGGTCTCATCATTCGCGACAAAAATCCATCGTCTGCCAATGGTGCTGACGCAGGTGGTAAACTTCCTGCTGAAGTCTTCCTTTGCAAGGTTGAGGCTGGCCCGAGTGATGGTCGAGTAGTTCCTTTCTTCGCTGTAGAAGCACTTCGTGAGACTGGTGGGTGCGACGACTTTGGTATGTTACCAGCACGGCTTTGCGAACGTGGGGCACTCTCACTTCTGATGGCTCCAGATGCACGACTCTGGGTTTGTCGGGCAGATGGTGGTGAGGTAACACCCTTCGAGCCAGAAGAAGCTGTGGGGGCTAGGAGTGAAGCTGGAAGCTGCACCGTTCTTGTGGGTGACCTAGTTTTGGGCTTGCTGAATCCACTGTGTGGAGGCGAAGGTGGGTTTTTGGCTTTAACGGCCGGTCGACTAGCAGACCTTGGCTTGCTTGAAGCTCTCACGCCGCCTGAAGGGACTAATGAATTACTGCTAGTCTTCTTGACCGGTTTCTTCTCGGGTGTCTTAGTTTGTAACGCAGGTTTCTTCTCGGGTGTTTTACTCTTTTGGATCTTTACATCCTTTCCAGGACTTCCTGTAGGTGTTGTCGGGGTCTTTGGAGCTGGTCTGAAACTTTTTGGAGGTGATGTTGTTCTTGGAGACGGTTTCGGGGTTGTGGATGATTTAGCTGTCGAAATAGGTGTAGGCCGCGTGGCAGACTTGGTTCTTATGGCTTTGCCTGCATCTTTCGGAGCTGCGGTGGTCTTTGAAGCACTTGTTCTTGATGCGGGACTTTTGCTTGGTCTGATTGCAGGTCTGCTTGTATTCAGTGCTTTTGACTCCTCGGGTTTCTTTGGGTTTTCCTTGATCTCTGCTGGCTTTGCCAATTCTCGGCCCCGTTCAGGTTCTGGTGCTTTTGTTGGTTCCGGATCCCCAATTTGTTTGTCCACTTCGAAAGCAGGGGTTTCTGCCAAGGCAGATTCAGGAATCAGTTCATCCACCAGCACACTGGCCTTTCTCGCCTGAAATTCTTGTGAAATTGACTCCTTTCTTTCCGCAGTTTCTTTGGGATTATCTTGTTCATCCAAACTAAAACTTGCCCTCCTTCTTGCCATACTGCCACTGCTCGCCATATTGGATTCACTGCTGCTGTCCTGTCTCTTAAGACCAAGATGTATTGCTTGACCAGCTTGTTGTACACCTCGTTCAACAGTTACGAAACTTGTTCTAACTTTCGATAGTGGTCTTGGAGGTGTTGTGCTACTTCCTGGTGAGAATACTTGAGAGTAATTAGTTTACAAGCTGCTGATGTAGGACAAATTACTCACATGTAGAATCTCCTGGAGAACGTCCTCTTTCTGGTGGTGATGCTGAAGTCTCCTTTTTGTTTTGTTCGAACATAGCACGAAGGTTTTTGATGTTGGACATGTTGAGATGAGTTTTATAGAGCCAATAGCTCTTGAGCTTGTACGGCACAAAGTTAAATCGATATAACAAAGGCGGAAGGAACTACTGATTATGCTCCAGGATGAAGTAATTGCCACAAATTAGTTGCAATGATCTGCCGATTTTGTGGAGGAAGGAAATGTTATCCAATTGCGTTTCCCCAAGGATTTAAGATTAAAAAAACGAGGTAGTTGGGAGTATTGAATCTCAGCTGGTCAAGTGGTGAATCGAATAAGGCATTGAGGCCAGCTGCAATTCTATTACATCTGCCGTACTCGGGTACTTGCACTCATCCAAGTTACTTGTATTAGGATTGAGTACACAGAAGAATCAGAAGAAGCCACAGTAATGGCGCGGCCCAGTCTCGGAGTGTTGGTGTTTAATAGTAAACAAAAGCAGTATTATTATTAGAGGAAAGTTGGATGAACCAGTCTTGTTCCCAAAATATGGAGAGGAGTTAAAGGGTTCTTGAATAAACGGTCGTACATTCAATGTCTCGAATAAATATCACAAGGTCTTAATTATGCAGGGGGTAGATATGGAACTCTTTTTATTTTTTCAATATTTCAAATGGCCTTGCAAGCTTGCAAGCCCGACGATGGGGGTTCAATAAAGGGGTGGGTAGGTAGCAGTTATACAAGGCTATTCTCCATTATGTCTAATTTTCTAATTTTCTCAATCTCCCTTCGGACAGTCGGCCATAGTAGTACCGGTAACTGGTGGTAACTGTATAAGTATCCAGCTTGGACCTCTATTTAATTGGTTTTGGAAGCGAAGTGAAACATTCCATAATAATGGGTTTGAGAAAAAGGATACAAGTCAGTGTACAAGTAAGTATGTAGGTAGGTAGGGTGTGAGAATAGAATTGAGGGACAAACAACAACATAACTTACCGATAATCTGAATGTGGAAATAAAAGAATAGAGGGGGTGAGATACTTAATCTGAAAATAGATAGATAGGCAGGTGTGAGCATACCTAGAAGGTATAAGGATATACAATATATTTTACTCGTGTAATCAGAATATCAGATCATATAAGTAAAGGGGAAGTTGGTCTAATTTACATAGAGGTGATATTAGAACATAGAAAGATAATCCGAGGGGTGTAAATAGTGGGGAGAAGATATTCCGAGAAGTTCAAGAACTGAGTCAACTTTCGAAATCAATCCCACCAGCACAAAATCAAAAGTTGGTCAAAGCAAATAAATAAAGTCAACAATTATGGCTTCCAGAACTTTGAGGATAGGTAAGAAAGAAGTTTATTACTTATCAGAAATAATCAATTGATATTCAAAGACAAAAACTAATTTATCTCTGGTCTAATAAGGTCTCATTCCTGGTGATGGAATTGGTAAAGAAGTTATTCCAGCAGGAAGACGAATTCTTGAAGCTTTACCTGCCTCTCTCAAATTGAAATTTGAGTTTGTTGACTTGAAAGCTGGATTTCAAACATTCGAAGAGACTGGAGTTGCTCTGCCAGATAAGACCGTCGAAATCCTCAAAACTGAATGTGATGGAGCACTTTTCGGTGCTGTCAGTTCTCCTTCAAAAGCTGTGAAAGGCTATTCCTCCCCAATTGTTGCGCTCCGCAAGCGTCTCGACCTTTATGCCAATGTTCGACCAGTCAAAAGTGTTATGACAGCTGCCAATCCAATTGATATGGTCATTGTGCGAGAGAATACCGAGGATCTTTACGTCAAGGAGGAGAGAACATATGATGCTGCTGATGGGAGTGGAAAGGTCGCTGAAGCAATCAAGAGAATTTCCGAAAGAGCATCATCCCGCATTGCTACAATGGCTGGTGACATCGCATTACGCAGGCAGAAGCTTAGAGACGGTGGGTTTGCAAGCATACACAAGTCACCTTTGGTTACCATTACGCACAAATCGAATGTTCTGAGCCAAACGGATGGTCTTTTCCGATCCACTGCTAGAGAGGCCTTGGGTGTCTCAAGATTCTCTAGCGTTGGTGTAGAGGAGCAAATCGTCGACTCTATGGTCTACAAGCTTTTCCGTCAACCCGAAACCTATGACGTTATTGTCGCACCAAATCTTTATGGAGATATCTTATCTGATGGAGCTGCCGCTCTTGTCGGCTCTTTGGGTCTCGTTCCGAGTGCCAATGTTGGGGAAGGATTCGCCATTGGTGAGCCATGTCATGGTAGTGCTCCAGATATCATGGGACAGAATATTGCAAACCCAATTGCGACTTTGCGAAGTGTTGCTCTTATGTTGGAATTCCTCGAGGAGGAGGAGGCCGCTGCTAAGATCTATGCTGCTGTGGATGGTAATTTGGAAGAAGGCAAGTTGCTCAGCCCTGATCTTGGTGGTAAAGCTACGACAACAGAGGTTCTTGAGGACATTCTCAGACGTTTGTAAAATGATTTTCATTTCAAGAAATGTTTCTCCTCAAAGGGTTCAAGGACTGTCTATCTGGAAATGAAGTCCTCCTCCGAGAAGGTATCTGAAGTCCTCTTCTAAGGAGGTATCTGGTTAGACAAATCCTGGACTAGGAGCTATGAGCTAAAATGATATCCCCAATCGTCTATCTGATCATCCACATTACTGTCGCGTCTTAGACGTATTCTGCCTTTCACCATGACTCTGCCCATTCTGATTTTCAGTCTTTTGATGAATGATTCGGCCTCGTTTTACTGCTCCGTACTTTTTGTCCACTTCCAATTCTTTTCCCCATTCCTCCGAGATCTATGCTTGTCTCGGGGTTGCTGATAACGTACGGCTTTGCCTAATGATGATGATTTACATTCTCATGAAAGGTTTCAGCCCGATTCCCGACCCAGTGCGGCTCGAAGTCTCCCACGGAGTTCCGCCAGAATGATGATATATTCGTCTTGATAAAATGATTCCGCCGACTTCTTATCGGCCGAGTGGACTATCAAAGATATAGAGCAAGGAGCGGCACGTTCTTGCTTGATGCGAGTATTTCTGATCTGGTGCTTCAAAGCTGGAGGGCTCAGTGGAGGTGTCAAGGGAACAGAGCGTGGAGTGACCCTCGGGATGATGTCATATAGACGCTCAGGTCTCTTTCTGCTGCCCAAAATGTATTGATGCTTTATGATTTTCGCGCGGCTCGAGAGTGGGATGAACATGTTCCATTCCGCGAGTTTTGTCTTGTATGTCGATATGCTTTGAAACCGTCAGTATATGTTTTAAAAGGCAATGCCGGATTTACTCACGATGCGCTGAAGCCATACTTCTTCCTCATTATTTCCTGAATTGCCGACATGGTTAGATGTTCCGATAGGAACAAATACCTAATCTCAGTCTTATGATCTTCGAATGGGTTCTGCATGGTTGCAAATGTTGTTTGATAGACTGCAAGTTTTGTATCCTTTGATCTTTGAAATTTTGTATTCACTCCGGAGAGCAGATGAGAGATGTATATATATGTACTGCACTTTTCAGCGGATAAAACAATTGGCCCACAGTCTATCTGATATTGATGTGATATTATTTTGTTGATAGGTTCAATTGGGATAGTGGGGAAGCGCGCTCATGGTTCGCCGGGGTGTCATACATGACGTGCATGAAAACATGGCATTGAAGATTACTGGAATCCGTTGCTGGAAAGCTACACCTCCACTCCACTCAGCGGCTAGAATCTTCACAATTAGCATTACTTCAGTAAATAATGGCAACGATAAGAATGATTCATCCAATTGTGCAAGATGCATACTGAAGAATGAAAACATTTCTATGCGCTGAAGTATGAAAAGTGGGAGTTTGGTGATAGTGTGTATATTGAATATTCTTTATGGAGTTTTGAACACGGAGTGCTGTCCCCACAGAGATAAGAAATTTATATACTCGAGTACACATACGAGTATACATGGAAGAAACACGATGCTTGCAATCCAGCTATCTACTTCACCGATGAAAGGATTAATATGTACTAGGTATACCTTCAGAACAATTTTGCATCACAATTGTGTTGAGCACGCCGGTACTTGTGCGGCGTAGTATAGCCCAACTAGTGTCCACATCTTTATCATGACATTGAACCACCTCTTCGGCGTCGCGCTCTTGGATATATTCCAGACACAGCGCGCTATAGACCAAATGTTCGATGTAGCGCCTTCAAATCACATTAACGGTTGCCTCACCGACTAATACTGTGACCACCATTTTGACGCCCTCAAGGCTCAAGCCTAAAACAAATCTGTTTTTGGTTATACGTTTCATCATGTCATCATTCGCTCTCTGCAGCGCTTTCTGACCAAGTGAAAAGTCAACCGGCGTTTCGTTTACATTTTGTAATTGGCGGAGCTCTTCAAAACCTAAGGCCCGACCGCAGTTCGAATTCTTCAGCGGCTTTCGGAACAATGGAAATAAAGCGTTAGGGTATCATTAGGGCATTGAGAGGTTGAGGAAGTTTCTTCGTGAAATGTATCATTGGCGTCGCGCTCTGGGAAAGACTGACTAATTTATTGCAAGGCGCTTACTACAATTTTCTACCGGTACTCGACAAATCATTTGAGCGAGAGGGTTTGATTGAAAACGGGTTGAGCGCTAATAGGACACCAGTGACTCGGGCGCTAAGGATAAAGTTACCCCGCCATGCCCACCTTCTAATTCTTTACTGCATTGAATTGAGTATTGAAACATTCTTTCTTCTTTTAACTCGATTATGCCAAAATGACAAATGACAAGATTTGATGAAGAAGTTTGCGGGTGCTCGCTCGAGAGGGTCGGATTTCGTTTATCACTCCCTCGTAAATGCGAGACGGCTTCAGATATTTTTCAAATATGTACGATCCTTCCTCGGTCTTTCGAGGAGGAAGCCGTTCGCTCTACAAGGATTACGGTTGAGCCACACCGAACACCGAATAACCCACTTGTTCTGTGGCTGTCTCGAATACGCTTTCCTTCTTCGCATGTTTCGTTTGTCTGCTCGCAGGAAAAAGAGTTCGGTTTCGCGAGGAACGGCCCGTTGCTGATGATCGGTGTAGGGTACAAGGATAGGGATCGAGCCACACGTTGATCTTGATATCACTCTGATGAGTAAAATGATTCAATGATTCGAAATATTGTTCCGTCGAATGATCCGTGTTGGCAATTCCGAGAGAATAATTGATCTGCCTAATGGATGGGTGGCATGTACGTTGTACGAGGTATGATAGATGTTGTGTGATGACTCATGAGCGAATGCAATTGCACTTTCGAACTTGTTCATAATATTCCCATATCATTGAGCACACGAGTGAAGAAGAGACTTGAGCATCACAGTTTGGCAGACCACTAAGAGCATAATCGTGGGTGGCCCCTCTTGAGCTTTAATATAAAGGTGCTCATGCTTAAGTGGGCGAACGTCATTATGCTCTGGAACTTCATTATACACTTCAACTCGTCAAAATTGAAGCTATTCCCATATTTTATTTCAGATAATGAATCTCTGAATATTGATTAACATTTTTATCGATTTTCGAATATTTAATCCAAAAACGGTGATACTGTACAGATTCAAAATATCGATTCTGAACTGATTTTGATTAGATAATCTAAGGTTTTTGATATCAAAACCTTACCAAAATTTGAAACGTATAGTGAAGTTCCAGTGCATAATGACATCCGCCCACTTAAGCATGAGCGCCTTCATATTAAAGCTTAAGAGGGACCACTCACGATTAGCGTTTCAACTGATTCTGCGAGATCTTGCCACCCATGAAATCTAATCTATGCTTAAGTATTTTAAGCCTCTTGTTCTACTTCACTTGCATCAAAATAGCCTCCAAAGTCGGGCTCAACATTCTTTTATGTATAGAAATACGTCATTATTACCATGTCTTTGTCTGCCTATTATTTTGTTTACACTTCCATGTCATCTATTGCTCAAAATCAACGCCTCAAATCCCAATGGTTATCTCCACGCATCCCTCTCAAATAACCAACACGCCCAGTTTCTCCCCCGTTAACCAGATCCCGTCAATTCCTTCCCTTCCCCCCAAAACTTTAAATCAATTCTCTCTTACCAGTATCTCAACCAAAAACGCCAATTCTTGTCACGTGTCCACTCGCATTTCCGTGCAATCGCGATCTCTACACCATATCTGCTTCCATTTGAGAAACCGAGTAGGAACATCGCGGCGTCTGATATGAATATACTGGAAATTGGCCTCCCATACCAATCAAATCGTCGCTCATGTCCATCATATCTTGTGCATTGATCTTGTAGTCATCATGAGTTTCGGTCCATGTATTATTATCGTCTGTGGGCTCTTCTGTGTATGGAACTACGTTTTCGGGGGCTAGATACTGGATCGAATATGCTTGGGTGGGTGTATAGGTTTGCGTTGGAATCGGGGTGTATGTTTGACTTTGATAAATTCCCGATATTTTGTTTTGGTAGAGCTCGGATGGAATTTCTACTCCGAAACTGTTTTGGAGGCTCCGAATCTCGTTTTGGCGTATGGTATGCGCATGGTATGGATCTTGGGAGAGTTGAGCTTGTTGATGGGTACTGTGTTGATGGAGGGTTTGTGGGCTGAGAGGCTGTGGGGTAATTTGAGTATTTGAGGTTGTTGTTTGCGCATTTTGCGGTGTGGGATGGATGTGTTTGGACGTGGGATTGTTGGATGATTGAGAGGATGGGGTTTGATCTTTGGCCGTACGAGTTCTGCAATTTTTGATGTCAGATCAAAAGATGAAGCAATGCCGAGGTCATGTAAGCAATGGCTTGATAAGATACATACCTGGCTCGATCACGGCGAAGATCACCTTTGTGTCCCGAATCCTTGGGGGCCATTTTTCTGCAAAGTATGAAAATTTTAACGTATTGAATTAGACACAAATGTGGAATGCTCGACTGCGAGAAGCTTTTTTCGCATTGAAAGCACGACTGTGATGAAGAGCAATAACATCATGAGGAATTAAGTACTACTTAAGATCACTTCATATACGAATGGTTTTGCACTTTATGCACTTTGCAAATGTGAAATAATTCGCGTTTTTGAAAGTGCAATCTGCAAAAAGGGCAATAGCTTCATGTTGCCTAATGAATCGTCACTCGTCACATTGACTGCCACGACATTACAATTCAGTGAGATCTCTGAATACAACTCGAAGGATTCCGGTCTCCGGGCTAATCCGGGCGGAGAGTACCTGGCATGGATGTGGGAAGCGGCACAAAGCTATTGAGCCTCATAGGAAATTTGATGATCATCCCATGAGATTATCTGGTGGTTAATTCTCAACGTTTCGGATTTTGGAGGAGACGAATGACGGCTGTGATTGAGGTTCTAAACCTTAACATAGGGAGCCAGGGGTGTAGCCGAGCCAGTAGTAGGCTATGTCTCGTACGATTTACCCATCCATTGGTATGCATCACTGCTTGTGCTCTCGAAAGTGCAATTGTTGCAATTGCACTTTCGTGATTTTCTAGCACTTTATGGAATTTCTTTTGTCAAGCTGTGAAAAAACCGCCTGAGATCAGCGCAGTACTGGGACTTAACGCAGCAATATCTTTACACCGTGTTGGCGAGGTCGAAATGTGTTCGTTTTCATCATCGTTGGAAACAGGGAAGCAACGAGACACTTGGCAAATTGCGCAAAAGACGGGAACGCGTTAACAGTGAGTCAAAGCGATGAATGTATTGCATGAACTATTCGCCACGTCACTCACTCGAGATGAGGCTGTGGCACTTCTCCTTGCTCCTCTCACCAATCATTATTATGAGGGCACTCACCCGTGCAATGTTCGAAAAAGTCGGCGCAATGGATACTCGCATTGACTCGATTATAAAGCGTCGAAGTCTTCCACGGATCAAATGAACAAATCGCGGTGATGCCAAAGGATTGGGCAAGCATAAAAGATGAGCTGGAGCAGCTCTATGTCACGGAAGGGCAAACGTTGGAGCAGGTTAGGGAAACTTTGATTTCGACTCGTGGATTTAGTGCAAGGTGAGTCGATCACCAATCTTCTGATTTTCGGGGTACTCCTTCGGATACTAAGTTCGGTTTGTCTAGTATACGTATGTACCGAATGATGCTTCGTGAATGGGGAATAAAAAAGTATAAATCGAACAACAAATGCGGCAATCAACATCCTCGAGATCCACGATCAACTGCATCTGTGGAGCCGGAAGACGCTGAAGATCTTCTGAAAGATGCCGATCTATTACTTCTGTTTAACGATAATCACTCTCACCCGCACAGCTTTATGGACTTACTCATGAATGAATCTCCTACTCAATCTTTCACTACGAACAACACTGCACATAGCACTAATATATCATCCTCGCCCAATTCTCATTCCTCCCTCGAAAAACCTCACTTCGGCTGTGACGAGCCTTCGTTGCCCGTAAGCGCCGTGAGGGGTCGAGATCCAGCAACAACAATCCCTTCACAGCCTATGAGACTTTCAGAGCTACTACCTTTGATCCGTAATCTATACCTTGCTGAATATGCTTTCGAACCTCTATTGCGAAATTGGCAATCCGATGGAGAATATATGGCCTGCGCTATTTTATGGTTGAATGATCCCGTCCATTGCAAATACATACTCGCCTCTTCTCCCACTGGAGGTAATCATTTCAAGCTGATCGACGAAAACGTCCCTTTTCCCGAGCGCATCACCTTGACCAAGGCGTTCCTCAAAGCTTCAATTGCGCATAACGTTTCGCCGTCACAAAGTATAAGGAGTGTCGTCTGGGGCTACACTAGATACGTTGATCAATGGCAAATTGTGAAAGACAACCTCCTGGATGCCTCATCTGGATTTATTGCGGAACCTGGCACGGTTTTCCATTTGTGTGCTCTTGCTGTTATGGGCGAAGAACTACTTAATGGCTACAAAAACCGCCTGGAAGTAATCCGCATGCATGCGCAACCACTCCCAGTCTCTAGAATTGAGGATGGCAAACGTTTACGTCAACAGTACATTAGTATTCTAAAAGATTTTCGCCATCAAGAAGTCGATGTTGATATATCCTTTTATAAATACTCGTTAGAAATTCTGGAATGGAATGAGATTCTGGCAGCGCAAGAAAGGAGTAAGGTTGATCGATTGCTAGGAAAATATAGAAGGCTTGTGGGTTTATGGACAGGGAATCCGCCAACCTGGATTGATGGTGGTGTCGACATGATGATAGAAACTGCTGAGCGGAGATGTCTATCTGAAAACTCTATGTCGTCGCCTGGACCATCTCTTGCTCCGGAAATGATTTATTTTTCTATAGTAGAAGATAAAACAAGATGATATACTTACTTTGCAAAAGCTAGTAATGAATGAATGAATGGATTTCTTCTCTCACCCATCCTCCATGAAGCTAATCTCACACCCAGCAGAGAATAGTTTCAGTTCATTCCGTTTTCGAGAAGTGACCATTATTCTGTGTAGAGCGGAAATCATCATTATCCTTTCTGATTTCGAGTATCGATTATCTGTCACACAACGATCCTCTTGATTACACATTATCTTATTTTCATTCCAAGAGACTTGTCAAGCACAAAGTCACAAGATGCTGTACATACATACATATATCGGTCCCAAACATCAATATCACACAATTCCTCATTCATTACAATTACAACATTTCAGCAGGCTCACTCCGCCTTCCATACCCATGAGTTTCCACCGGCTTTGGTATTGCACCATCCACTTCCGCTCTGTATACATATTTTGGTCTGCTGACAAAATCTGCTGGGGATTGTTCGACTTCTGTAGCTGAAAGTTCATGCGATTTGCCATTTGTCTGTTTTCGTTTCCAGAAAAAGGCTGTGAGTGCGAGTAATCCCACAATGCCAGCGCCAGTGCCTACTGCTATCCCCACTTTTGCGCCTATAGATAAAGGTTTTGGTGCGTTTGTGGATGAGTTTGTGGACATTGCTGTTGGTAGTGGTTGGAATACTGTTGTAATTATGACTGATGGTTGAACCGTGCTCGTTTGGACTACAGTGGATAACGATACCGCAGATGTACTGGTTGATCCAAACTCAGATGCCGGTATGCTGATTGGGACCGAAGACGCAGATGCAGTTTGGGAAGTTTGGGAGCTCGAAGAATCCACTACTGCTGTATCCGAAACTCTATTGTTGACGATGAATTTTCCTTCCTTTGCGTTGCAACAATCTATTGCATTCTTTCCGCAGCAATAACTGCCATCTGGACATGCAGTAATCTTGGTGTCGTTCACTGCACACAAGCTTCGTCAGCTGCAATCCCTTATTACGACGAATATAGTACAAGCTCCCTACCTCCAACACATAACTGTAAGCAGCCTGGAGACTGCCATGTCTTATCCGTACACGATTCTCTCCAAAGTTGCGAACCACTTATACCACAAAGACCATAGGTAGATCCCGAACCACATTCGTCTCCCCCATTGCTGCTGGCCCCTAGATGGCAGCACATGCTAACGGGTGCCGAACCATTGCATGCCTTATATGTGGGATCCATCTCGACTCCCGCATAACTATAACACTGCCCCTTCACCGGTCTTGCGAGCCAGCAAGAGAGTGCCAAATAAATGATATGATGCATTATTGACAAGTGTGATTCCTCATGTAAAGATGAACTGAATTCACCAACACTTGATTGATCATTATTTGATTGAAAGCGCAAGATCAAGGAAATCCAGAATCAGAGAGAACGAAAAAAGGAGAAAGGAACCAAGTCAATCGAAAGCGGAAGCACAAGATGTCTATTTATATTCTCAATTACTACTTTAAGTGAAGGATTTGAAGGATCATTTTCAAGTACCTGGTAAATGTAGACGCCAGCCTCCGTCAGCCTCCGTCAGCCCCCATCTTGTTTTGTGTCCCGAAAGTGTTCGAGGGTCACACGCTTACACTCACGTTGGGCTTAGTCACTGGTGGTATTCATCTCCCACATTTATATCGAGGATATAAATTGCGGTATAGTCAATGCTAGTTTTCAGTGAAGCTTACATGTCCAACTTATTTGTACCGGAGAATGTAGTTCCTTTCGTTATCGGATATCGGATATTTCGATGATGGCTTCCTAGTAGTATACTAGCAAACAATGGCGATTTCTGACATCCGCTTGGGTGTTAAATTCTTCTCTGACCCTGTCCCTATTCATCGACTGCTGAGGGAGGACGTTGCATGTTGGATTGCGTGCTCTTGAGCTTTAGTTCCCCTATGTAGCTCTTTAAAGGTGATAACTATCGACCACTCTGACAAAAGGTAAACGACACTGAGATTTGATATCACATGTATGTAAAATGTCCATTACCTAAAAAGATGCGATTTCAAAATAAGGGAGATAGTCATATCCGCATGAAGCCACCATCACTCAGACTATAACTTTCACATGGCCCCCCTTAAACGCTGGTACGCCCCGAGTCCATGTTCACTCGACACCCATCCCGTATCCATGCTCATTTTCATATGTGCAACCATTCCCGTTCGTTCCTACACTCATCCTCGCAATAGCCTGAGCAGGGCGAAATAATTCAATCCCAGCAGGATGTTTCCTAGCACAGCACGAGCCCGATGTCCGAGGCCAAAATCCAGCACATCAAAATTGTAGAGGCAGGAAGTCAATAACTCTCATTAGATTGCTTCGTCATGTTGAAAAAGTATAGGACAGTTGAATGCAGACGAGAGTTGAACTCCCTGTATCTAGGAAAACCATAAAGACAACATTGATGCGTAACCCAGCGCGATACTTGAATAATAATCAGCAACAACAAGAACGCATTAGAGTAGAAGGCCATACAAGAATAACAATACCTAGTACTGCACTCCCAATCTAAACATCAAAAATCGATACCAAGGAAAACACCCTGGTTCCCCTACCCTACATCACCCAACACAAGCTAGTGTCGTCGCACCGCGAACGTAGGAGGTATCAGCTGCTTGAAGTGAAATGAAATGCGACGAGGAAATATTCTCGCCGAGCGTTGACTTCTGCTCTTTCTCGGATTGTGCTTGGGCTCTCGCTCTCGGATGGGTAAAAGGGTGCTGATGCCGATGCCGATGCCGATATTCACGGGGAGAGTGTAGAACATTGTGAATTTTATTTCTGTGTGCTGAATTTTTTGGATAGGAGATGTGGAGAGGGATGTGATGTTCGTGGAAAAGGAATGTATTTGGGTTGATAACTTCTCTTGTATATATGTCAATCGATCCATGATAATTATCTTTTGTTCCAAAAGATGGTTCGGGAACTGTATCGTCTACTGCATCAATGCATCAATGTATCAAATCATGTACAGCAAAGTAAGTAAGGCGCGCTCACGAGTTGTGAAAGAAAAACACATGTATACAAACACAAAGGTGTTTCCAACAAGACAAGAAGGAAGGAAATTACTGGTTTCGTGTACTGTGGTAGCTTTGCATATGTATATGGTAAAGAGGTAGATATGTAACTATGTACTGTTATCTGACTGTTTAAAAATGCAGACAAGGTGCCGTAAGGCTATATGCATATATGCATACATGTATGTATATGTATGGCTAGTTCGTCTGGATAGATGAGATAGGGCTATAATATCCAAGATGTTGATTGTTGGATATCACAACTATTAAATCTTGGTGCGTAATGTAGCTGGCACTCAGTAGATTATGGAGGAATATGATATGATACAAGATAATTGCGCCTTGAAATTTTTGTTCGTTTAGTATACAAATGTTTGATTACTACTCGAGTAATACCTAAGCTGCTAAAACTCCAGGTAGATACCTATCTACCTACTGCGAGATCTGAGTAGAAATTAGAATAGCTGGAAAACTTAATATAAAATAATATCGGCTCTTACACCTCTTAGAGCCTAGTGGTTTAGTGCTAGAACAGTTTACTGTTGTTATAATTCTACTAGAGTCTAGTTTTTCTGTGTCTAGATCTAGATTGTTATATCAGTGTAAGTGTAAGTGTTAGTGTTAGTGTGAGGTAAGGCTTACTAGTAGGACTGAAGGGATATCATAATTGTGAAGCTCGGTTCAAGATGGATATATAGTACTTACTAGTCATGGGTGATTCCGCGCCATAGCTCTAATATTAGTCAGTAGTACTAGTAGGGCTTAGAGAGAGGCTGGGGTTGATTAAAGTTTTGAACTTGAAAGTTGAGACTAGTATATTGCTAGTGACGAATCGCCGCTAATCTAGCTTCAATACTGTAAAAATTAGGGGTTAGAGAGAAGCTAACGATGATTATGGTTTTGAGTTTGAGACTAGTATACTAACTAGTTATGTATAGCTCGAGCACTAGCTCTTACACTAGCGAATGAAGGGATTGTTGATGCCATTGCAATCATATTAGTGGCATTAATGGACTATATATTGAGAGACAGATTCGCCCTACTCATTCAAAATACCTTTCCTTTACGAATGTGATGCTTTCTGCAATTTTAGTGGCGAGCCCAGTTCGAGTGTTATCGTTCCATCTCCAATGACAGCCCGAAAGTAATAAACTTTTACACATCTCCATAGTGATAAGCCCTGTTCGGATATCTAAAGTGATGAGCCCAAAGTGATATTTCCATTCAGGTTGTGACGAGACCACCTCCATTCGCATCCCAATTATAAAAATGACATGCCCATTCGCATTTCACCAGCCCACCCCTATAATATACTTCACCACAATAACCTTTCCACCGGGTCCAACTCGACTCCTCCATCCCCCTCTATCGCCCACATCTCCAAAGAAAATAAATACTCTCAACCCATCCATCTCACCTCACCTCACCTCACCATTACAAGAAAATCAACTTACGCCAATCCAACTACAATAAACGCGTCTAAATAATTCTCACCAGCAGACAATGAACAACTCGTTTTTCCCACTTTTCCATCTTTCCATTTTTCCATCCGTCCTTCCTTCCACTACAAAGATCAAATAATAATTCACATTCCCTTACCGAGGTCACACCGTCAGAACAAACGGAAATATGCAGGAACAGATGTATATGTATGCCCAACACAAAATTGTACCGCTGTGCAATCATATATGATATCGCTATAAAGAAACAAGATTGACGCCAATGGAAACTAGAAAAGTAGACTTGGCTCGAGAAGAGTCTCCAGTGATGTCTCCTGGACTTCGAAATGTTCTACAGTAGTGATTGGTTCCTCTACTCACTCAATCTCTTTCTAGATCTTTTATTATGGATTTGGAAGAAGCAGTTCGTGAGTTGAAAACCCTCCGTAGTTGTGATCGCAGGTCTGGAATCATGATTAGTCAAGACTATTTGGAGGCTGGTTGATGTGGATGAGAAGACGACTTGAATAGTATTGTTTGTTTGGGCATTTCCATCTTGTTTGGGAACCTGTAGCTGGTAATGTTGATAGATATGAGGCTCATCTAAAGAATCAAAAATGGTATGCGGGCGCACTGCTGCTTCGTTTAAGCTATGACAGCTAGCAACCATACAATCACCGCGCCATACATCAAAACAGTTCTTAGCATATGGACTAAAATAAGCGGATATGAAACCAAATGAACATGATTCTATTAAGGAAAGCACAATAATCTCGGGTAAATGTGTGCGATCGTCACCAATCGACATTTCATCCCCGCGAAAATCCGCCACTCGTCAGATTCAAATGTTCTTCACCGGATTCTTCCTCCTTATATACTCTCCCACTTCAGCAATGCAAATGACACAGGAATCATACCAATTGCAAGAAAGGCCAGCAAGCTATTTCCCAATCCTAAACCCAAGGTTTTATACATATTTTGTCCGGAGAGGAAGTGCCGCTTCTATCACAACTTCGGAAAATCGTGTTCGCAGTAAGGCGCTTGCAGCATAGATTTTGAACGCATCAACTAGATACGGGTCGATGCACATAAACACAAACATGTTACCAATGCCGATAAGGGTGGTGGAGAGGATGGATACGATCTAGTGAACTTTATATTTTACCGTCTAACTATAGAGAAGTAGACCAACGAGGATAAGAAATGAATCCGGTACAAGAAGTGGAAGGCAATACTCAGGTTGCATCCCAGGAGACTCTCAACCGGTGTCGGCAGCGGTAGCATTGAATTTTACGGTAGAGGTTTTCATTATACAATCCGAGAAGTATGCAAATAACACTAGTCCGAATATAGAACCAACTCCCAAACTAAGAAAAGTAAGCTCAACATCTCATACTGAGTCTATAGGTCTCTTCAAATACCGCCAAAAATATAGTGAAGAGTAAATAGAGGCGATTGTAAATTACAACCGTGTATTGCAGTGTATAGAACAATAGATGAACGGGAAGTCAATTTCGCGGGACATACAATGTCAAGACCGAAAAAGTCCTTCGCGGAAAGTCTAAGATCGAGTTTAGATTCAAGCGCAAGGTTGCCAGACTACTTCCGAAGACGATTAGTTTTCCTTTGAAGGATTGTCACAGTGTATGTTTGGTGCATAAATATAAAGCAGAGGATTGTGAAAAGCCAAAACTCATTATCTGAAGCCAGAAGATCCAATGTCAACCTTTTGTTTGAGCCAAGAAGCCATCTGTCACAGGGCCAATACTTGGACCAATATTTGCTGTGAATCTCTGCCATGAGAGCCAAAATACCAGGAGCGAACATTGAGAAAGCCAGAGGCGTTACGAGATGACAAAAACCAGGAAACAATTCGAGAATTTCATCCATCCTTTCCAATTAATGGGAATCTCGAGGGATCGTCCAAGCCATCCCACCAAGCGATGTTTGGATTACTACCTACAGCATCAATCTCTTGCGAAAATCTTTATATTTTACCTTTTGATTGAGCTTATGCATCCGATGCTTCAGAGGCTCTGCGACGAAGTGTGACATTCCGCTTGAGCTTGATTTCTTCATTCGCGTCTAGAGTATATCCTTCGTTTGATACTACATCCGCATCATTTTCTTAGTTTGCATATGCCGTTAGAGATATTTTCTCGACATCGGATGGTTCTGCGACTCTCAATGACTTACGTGCAGGATGGTCATCGGAAGGGAGTTCTAGAAGCTCTTTTTCAGTATCTTGGTCAGGTATGTCAACCATCGCGTCTGTGGAACCTTGAAATTGCTACCTACCATGGTAATTTGGTAAGCTGTTGTGCTCGTATTTGATATGTTCATTTCTGTGATACTTCGTAGAATAGGAAGATGTTGAAGATAAGGGTTGGCTGTGATGCAAAATGAACTGGGATGAAGGCTCGGATCTGCTTGCTTACCTTATCTATTGATACACAAACGGGCCTAGACATCAACGAACCCCTTCAAAAATGAAGATAAAAATCAATTGTAAACCTATATTTCTCAAAAAAAAAAACTATCAAACTACAAAGGAAAACTTTCAACATCTCTCCACTTCCTCTCATCTTCTTCACGGCTCGGGACCATCGATGAATTTATATCATTTGCTGTATAAACTCGTATACCGGTAAACTGGGAGAGAATCTCATAGCTATATATACGAGTTATCAGGAATATCTTCATTGTTCAGTATTAACATTGAAAATTGTTGTGAAGCATAACAACGGGTTTGCTTGATAATTGCGGTGTTGGTTGATCACCGATATGGAGGATCACAAGATTCATGTATGCACAAGACAAGGAGGGTATCGTTCATTCATCTATCAATGTTGCTGAGTAATGCAAGTAACTATCCTTTCGTACTTCCTCCCCTTCCTATCCTCATATCTCCCTTCCATCAATCCCAGACCAAATTACACACACATCATAAAAGCAACCCGAACGCCAGACGCTAAATGCAACAAATGTCTTGTCTTCTTCTTTCCTTCTTCGCCTTCATTCTCCTCTCCTATCAAGAAATCACTCTCCTCATCCATCAAACCCTCACCGCTTAGATAGCACCGTGAGAATAGGGCTCATAAGCACCAGTGCGTGTAGGTTGATGTTGTTGTGGGTGATAGATGCCTTGTTGTTGTTGAGCAATGTACCCCGATTCCGGGCCATCAATCTTCTGATACGCCATACTTTGCGGAAGCAACTTCTCTTGATCATTGATACTGCGTCTGTTATTCTTGGGGCTCTTGTGATGATCAGCCGCGCAACAACAGATGGTAAAGACCCAGAAGAAACTGCTCGCAATGCTGAATACGACGGCGAGCCATGTGACAGCGAGGAAATGCGTATCGATGGAGGCGTCGATTCCGTAGGCTTTAGCGGATGTCTTGATAGCGCCAACAGTGACAGAACAGAGGACGGTGGCCATGATGGATGCGGCGATGACAGCGGTGGTGCTGAAGCCGGAGATAATATATGTAACACACGAAGCGGCTCTAGAGCACATGGCGAATATACCAAGGAAGAGTTCGGCTCCGGTCGCGATCAAGGCAATGATGTAAACTACCTGTGTCCATTTCGATACCACCACAAACGTCTTCAACGCATGTGTAACTTCACTGGGGAGCGTGGCATTGGTTCTCGTTGAAGAGGTGAGAGTATCGATCGAAGTGGTATTGAGAGAAGTAGCCGCCCAGTTGAATTTCGCTTTGGTGCATGTTGTATTCTTGCCAGTAATAGCGCAGTAACCCCACAAACTAACCTTATAACTATCCGCCAACCCGAGGTCCTTCGCCGTGATATTGAATGCAGAATCGGTGCCGGTTGCTGAAGCGATAGCAGACTCAAGGCTGGTTTCTGCAGAGGTGGCGGAAGGAGTCAAAGCAGCGACGGTAAGATGTCCAAGGCCGCGTTTGAGGATGGAGTTTTCGAGGCTGAGAAGAGCCGAGGAGGAAATGGAGAGGTTGGTTGTGTTTACAACGAAGAGGTCGAGAGATTGGTCTGTAACGCCAGCGAGGGAGGCAATGAGGAGACAGACTAAACTGGCGAGGGTTAAGCCAAATGGCAAACCGACGCAAAGAAATCGACCGAAACCCATGGTTTTGATGCTGTAACGATTGTTGGTTGTTGCTTATATAACTTTCTTATTGTATCGTTGGTGTTGTTGGAGTTTTTTTTGTAGATTTGATAACAAGAGAAAGAACGAATGTGTTTCTTTTGCGTTGATTAAATCAAATGAGAAAGAGAGTAGACAAGTCGAAGGATCGATGTTATTTTGTATGTGTTGGTTGGTATAATATGGAAGAGAAATAAAATGGAATACGAAGGGGCAGGTTTGACGTTTATTATGTACGACCGACTACAAGGTACTGTATGGGCGGCGCAGCAACAGCAATGCAGCAACCCATGGGGCTGTGAATATGTGAATGACGAAAAATTACGGACTTTTTATGGGGAAATCCTTGCTGATTGTCGAATTTATCTGAGATAATAGAGATCTTCGATGATATTTATGGTGAAGTGAAGTGAAGTAAAGTAAAGTGATGGCAATGGTTGATGAGTTTTTCTTTTCTCTCTCTCTCGAAGGGATATACTATATTGTTGGATTTCCTGAATCATTGGCTATTATTGCGATGAATGAGCATTTCAACATTCACAGCAAACTTGTCTCATTCAATCATCACTCATACCTATTCCTACTCTCAGCCCTGACCTGATGGAAGGAATATTTCGGTTATTTGTTCCCTCGTATTGTACCAACATGTCTTATCCCAATCCCAATCTCCCAAGGACTCGTTATTACACCACCACTGCAGCACCAGCACCCAGCACAGCACCCATCACTTTCATCACTTTTCCATCACCTCACCAACCTCTTAATCTTTCACTTGCAAACAACCCTTAATGTGCCACAACAAACCGACAAACAGACAAACAGCGTGGCTGGATCCTTCTCAAGAATCTCAACCCTTTTTTTCCACCTCAAACCCTTACAGGAATAGTCCATAAATATATAAATCAAAATACATACCTGATTAAGTAACTAGATCAATACTACAAAATCTATTAATATCACCCCTCCTTCGCCATCGTCTTTTATTTTCTAACTAAACCTTACCGATAACCACTCTTAGCTTAGTAAGGTTCATTGAAGTCTCAGAATCATCGCTGGCTGATCTTGGAAAACGAGGTATTGATAAAAAGAGAGGTTCACTACCGGTACTAGTATTTCAAATATAGATACTAGGTATATATATGTATTAAGCAAAGTAAGATATCGATATACTAAAGTATCAAACTTTCAATGTTTGATTGACTTTCCAGCCATTTGCTTAGCTTAAATATATAAATGTGGTTTGCCCAATAAAGTTGCGAACGCGTCTTTCATAATTGCCAAGGCCCTTGCCAGCCAGTGCGAGCCCATGCCAACGTAGCTCCTAGTCGTAGGCCCGTGGCTGAGAAGAAGAACTTTAGAAAAAGTATTCCACGACATTTCACCGGCAGGAAACTTTACAGAAAATATGCAATACAATATGAATTAGTCGGCTAGACTGGAGGGGTCTAATATTATTACTGTAGTGGTTTCGTGTCATCATGACGATATGGCTCTGAGTTTTCACTCTACTCAGTACTTTGTATGTTACTGACTGAACCGAGTACCGGTATATGATTATCAATATATAATTCGTATAAGCCCTTCACTTCACAAAAGATAAGGTGCCGTGGGGTTTTGGCGTCGTTTCAGTTTTAGTGCTCTGTTTTTGGCTTTGTGTTTTGCTTGGAAATGGTCATTGATCACCCAATCCCCTGTCATAAGCGAAGGGAAATTTTAGATGGTATCTCAAAGTTATATTTTGTTATATTATATTTTCACGTGCGAGGGGACATCTATATCAAAGAATCTTCAAGTTTTACTTTATGATGAAATATTGATCTTGCGTGGGGCTGTGGATATTACTGTATCGCAAGTATATATGAGATACAGTATGGTGTCCAACGGAATGGAATACAAGTTCAGAACTGAGAGTGTTTAATGTTTGAAAAGTGGTGAGCTTCTTGACTCAGTGTGGCCACTGACTTGATATTCCAAAGGGATGTACAGCTATATCCGAGACTCAATGTATGAAATGGACTCATTATTTGATACAGAATCAATACCTGCTATTAATAATCGCTGGTTACCTATGTAACAAACAACATCCCCCCTTCCTGACCTGGCTGTATCAGAAAAGTATACCTGGCAACATCCTGCCTGGGCTTGCGTATAAATTATTCGTCGCGCTTTGGTGTGGTGCTGTTACCATTTGCTAAATATCAATGCGACAATTACAGTACCCCCAATAAGCGTTACGTATACCACCGGGGCAATGATCAAATTAAGATCGACAGAGTCTTAAGAGGATCACCTTCCAGAACTGTCGAATAAAGTGTTCAAACTGACGATGAGGTCTCATGTAACATAGCCTCATTGATATTATCCTGATCTCTTGGATACCTGTGTTGTGTTGTGAATGCTGGATAGAGTGAGCCACTGCTGCAGCATACTGAATCATTGGTTGTTGCACCAAGCCCTCCAATTTCCCAGGTACTTCTAAATGCTCGAATGACCGATCGATAATGACCATCAACATGTTATTATATAATGACAGTTGATTTAGGCGGTCCATACTCTCTTGCGATTGTACTAGAGTGTCGATACGAGGAATTATCACGCACAATCTCCGTATTCGATTCCAGTTTGTAATCTGTATGTTTGAGTCGAGCGTCAATCTATCGTTCGGGACAATGACCGTATCGATATCGAAGTCGATGAAGACTCTTGCTACAACCCCGAGGATTTAGAAATTGCTTATCAAGCTAGGCTTTTAGAGGGAAAGGAAAGGAAAATGAGTAATGAGTAGCCAAGGCTGTGTAAGTAAATGAACGTGGTACATCAGATGAAATATAGAAGATTCAAAGTTGTGGAAAAAGGTGAAGAGGATGCAGCAGATAAAGCTTTCCAACAGAGCTGGATACTGGGGAGTGCGTGCGACATGAAAGAATGGATCAGACTTACAAGTAGATTTTTCTCCCGGCAAATATCCCTCTACCTGAAAAGAGCGAGTACGATGTCTTTGAACCTCATGTCGCCAGAACCTACAGACCTGAGAGACTTTGAGAATATTATTCGAGCTATTGCATCTAAACCCAAAACCCAGTTCGTACTTTTTGGCACGAAGATTGATGTGAAGACGGCGTCGCAGGAAAGCTCCTAAAAATCGGGGTCGCGGACGATACAGCATAAAGGTATGAGGTTCACGTGCGACTTCCTTGAGAATAAAAACCCATATTTCATATGGCAATATAGTATGGTCAAAACGGTTAGGACCAGTGTCTTTGCTAAACAACCCTTTTATACATTTATGCCACCGAGATTCCATGGTATGACCAACGGCTTGATCAGCGGCGGAAGGTCGATTACATTCGTGATCGCACTCATGAGCGCAACTTTCATTGCACTCCTGGCTCCTCTGATGGCTCTCCTGGTTGCCCATTGTGTGGATGTGGCTTGTATATTAACGATGCTATGGTGTAGTATGTATGTTTTCTTTTGCGAACTTTCAAAATTGTGTAAGAAAAGATAAAGAGAGTGCAAAGTAGAAGAGTATATAAATTAACATTCTGAGAGGGCAGAAATTTAAGAAAGGAAAGATCAAATCACAATATTCATCCTAGCTGGGACATATCAACCAACAAACCCTGAAATTATAGAAAGAGCGCAGAAATAAGAGTCAAAAGATTCCACAACAAGTTTTCTCACATGAATTCCATTGTTCTCAGGGAGGAAGGTGAGCCACTGGGAGAGGTAGCAATAAGACTTCCCGAGTTTTCTTATCAGAAATAGATTCCATGGATCCCTAAGCATTCGTAAAACACCAATATTTGCTACTTAGCAATGAATACAGAATTGATAACACAGTTTGGATCAAGCCAATTGACTGTATTATACTTCAGCATATCAATTATGTGTCACTCTTTCTTCCCCAGACCCCTCTGAATGTTTGTTGAATATCGTTGAAATCTATCTGAATAATCTGACGATTTCTGGGAGGTCGAATTATCGAATTATGTAAATGGATAAAATTGTTTCTTGGGTAGGTCAACAAGTCAGAGGAAGAAGAAAAAGATACTGTGCTAATTGTTGTCCCCCTTGTCATTGGTACTTACTACTTAGTAGTAGTGCGTTTGCCAAGCATTTTTCTTTCCCAAGGCCCAATCATTTGTCATTATCCAAAAGACTTGTCTTTGGGGTCCGGTTCCCGATAGCCAAAATCTAAACCAACAACCCCCATTGAAAGGAACGAATGAAGAATAATAGGAACAACCCAACGAATCCCTTCTCATAACAAGATCAAAATTCAATATCTTCGAGCGTCAATTATCACCAAGCTTCTAGTCTTCTGTCGAGTCTTAGGTTCTAGATATAGGTAATCATCGTAATTATTCTGTGCATCTACACCTTTCACGCCTTCCTCCGCCTTGCTCCCATTGTCTTTGAGACAAACACACCAGTACTTCCCTTTCAGGAACTCAAACCGATACATACATTCTGGGACGAATTATTTCCATCCTCCAAGATTATCAACTCGATATAGCTCATACAATATATCAATATTCGCCTTCACCGATATACTCAGGGCGACCTTTTCGATTGTCGCGGTATTGACGGAACGGACTTCCATGTCGACGAAGACCTTACGTTCAGCAAATCCGACTCAGCCCCAACACTAGGAATTGCTTAAACTTCCAGCTAAGGTATATATCAAGATTTGATGCCTATAATCGTGTTTACCCCATTCCTTCTTTGCTTGCAGATACCGCCTTCATCCCCAATCATTCTACAAAGCAGCCTTTTGCAGGAGAGCTTTTTGCCGTATGCATGCTTACAATTATATAGTAGTTTATAACTATTCACCATCTGCCAGCGCGGGAATTTCTCACAAGTTCTACGAATACACCATTGCGACTGCATACAATTCTGTCTCTCTACGGCTTGCCCATACCGGCTAGGATACCCGATACCAACAAAAGTACAAGATACTCGCCCGAGACAGTTAGAATTAGTTTTGGTTCACACCTTCACACCTTCACACCTTCAAATCTCTTTTCGACAAGAGGAACAGTCCTTCTACTTCCCCCATTTACACTTGCAGTTGAACGGGCATCATCACCTCCGAGCCATCTTGAAGTAAACAGATTTGACTACCGACAACTATCTATTGAGCTCGCATATTTATATTTGGAACGATGGGAAACCAACCTTCTAAAGGTTCGGGGTCTGCAACGCCGAGGAATAGTGCATCACAAACGTCTTTAGATAAAGGATCGGACAATTTATCATCTTATCCTTCGTTCAGCAAAGCGGATACCAAGGAATCCAACAAATCATTCCGAGGCGCGCTTCGATCAAAAATACCAGGTTCCAAGGTTGACAGCCCAAGAAATTCAATCGCGGGAATAGGTGGCAGTGGAGATGCAAACGACAGATCAGATGTTGCTTCGATTAAATCGGGGAAAAGCTCTAAATCGGGCAAGTCATCAGTTGCACCAGGCTCACCAACATCACCTCAAGATTCTTCGGATGACCTTGCTTCACCAGTCGACGATCTCAAACCTCCTCCTTCACCCGTTCAGTCTGCTTCCGTAAAATCTGGACATCACGATGTTGGCGCTGCACAGCGCAGTGGTGAAGTCGATCATGTTTCCGACCAACCCCCCTCTGGCACAGTCAATCCTTATGCAGTTGGAGGACGAGCTGGGCAATCTATACTAGTTAAGAGAGCAAATGAGATTAACCCTGTTCAACACGAAGCCTTGCTGGCTGCTCCCATAAATGGGGCTAATGAGTTAAGTCTCTCAACATCCGCATCGCCGCAAATGTCAATGGGCACACTAAAAGAAAAAGAACTCGACGACTACATTTCGCGACTCTTGGATGCAGGATATCAAGGGAAAAGCACAAAGGGAGTCTGTCTGAAAAGTGCGGAAATTAACTCAATATGCGCTCGAGTAAGAGAGATATTATTAGAACAACCACCACTGATCGAACTGGAAGCCCCAGTTAAGATTGTAGGTGATATTCATGGGCAATACTCGGACCTCATACGCATGTTTGAAATGTGCGGATTTCCTCCCTCGTCAAATTTCTTATTTCTTGGTGATTATGTCGATCGAGGGAAGCAGTCTCTCGAGACGATCTTATTGCTCATGTGCTACAAGATTAAATACCCCGAGAACTTCTTCTTGCTAAGGGGTAATCACGAATGTGCAAACGTTACTCGAGTTTATGGGTTTTATGATGAGTGTAAGCGAAGAGCTAATGTCAAAGTATGGAAGACCTTTGTGGATGTCTTCAATTGTGTATGTAATCAGCTCTCATTCTGTATGAATGTTTTGCTAATCTTTTTGGTAGCTACCTATTGCCGCAATTGTCGCCGGAAAAATCTTTTGTGTTCATGGCGGTCTATCCCCGGCTCTCAGTCATATGGATGATATTAGACACATTGCTCGACCGACAGACGTTCCTGATTTTGGGTTACTCAATGACCTTTTGTGGTCTGATCCTGCAGATCAGGAAAACGATTGGGAAACCAGTGAGAGAGGAGTTAGTTATTCGTTTGGCAAGAAGGTCATTGCGGAGTTTCTAGCAAGGCATGATTTTGACTTGGTTTGTCGGGCACATATGGTTGTTGAAGATGGTTACGAATTCTTTGAAGATCGAATCCTCGTTACAGTATTCTCTGCCCCGAACTATTGTGGCGAGTTTGACAATTATGGAGCTGTGATGAGTGTTTCGACAGAGTTACTGTGCAGCTTTGAACTTCTGAAGCCTTTGGACTCCAGCGCGTTGAAGAGTCAGATGAAGAAAAGCCGTAACAAGCGAAATAGTATGGTCAACAGTCCTCCACCGACAGGGACCTTCGCTCCCCAGAGCGTATAATGAATCGCCAGACAATGGTCACACAATATAGACGAGACGAGACGATTGCTCTGAAGAAATTCCGATACATTCGAAAAAGAGAATCCAAACTTGCTACGACGCAAAGTCAACAAGTATAAGATATACCATGATTTAAGTGCGTAAAGGAGCCACTCATCAATGGGTGGGTACATATAAAATTAAAAGGTAGCCAAGACGAGGTATCAGACACGTAAAATTGTCTACTTGGTCGGAGCTCATTTCATACGGCATCAAGAAGGTTACCATGGAGATTGGAGATTGTCCATAGATTTTATATGCACGCATTGATTTATTTCTTTTTCTGCGGGTAGTTTCCTGTCCGCGATAACATGGCCCTTTTCTCTCGGGGTTATGACGCGGAAATGAATACATTTTATACCGGCGTCATTTGTTCTGGTATGTCTCAAATAGGAGACAGAAGGGTCACAAACACAAACTCTACTTTTTGTTTTCGCACTTGCAAGATCTGCAATGGTTGTTTATGGGCATACGAGATGGATGGGTGGGTGATGGTCGGTGGATCTGTGTGCTAGATGGCTGGGTGTATTTTGTATTCGTAATGTGCGGGCTGGGGTGGAAGTTGGAGTCGGAGTTGGAGTGGGAGAGGGTTAGCATGGCTGGCGTGGGGAGTTGTTGTAAGGGATGACATGACATGGCATAGAAAGACGGTAGCTTTTGGGCATGATGTTGATTGATTGGACTCCTCACTCATGACTTTATGAAACCAATGGGTGATGGGAATGAGATGAGATGAGATTATAAGCGTCCTTCAAATTATGAATTCTATCCTTGTATGCGTGTCTTGATAATTGATGTAAAAGCGGGCTTTTGTGTCGATTAGATTATGAAATAGGATGCGATGCAAGTGCTCATCCATTGGGAGAAGGGCGTCTTATTCTGAACTGTCGCTGTGACTTGTAGGAGGCACTACAGCCATTATGAAATGAGATACAAGTGAGATTACTTTCAGTTATTTGCGGTAGGAAAAAGTTAAGCCTCGGATCGGTGCTCTCAATAGAATCATGGAGTCGAGTGAGTATTTTCAGACGAAGTACAGACTCAAGAGAAGCTGAGTGGCGGGATGAGATGCAAGATGCAACCATCTGCTTGTATTCCGTAGTGAAGGTAAAAATGATACGAGGGGCTCGCACCATCATACTTGGAAACTCTGGAGCCCCATATTAATTTTATGAGGGAAGCGAGGAAATTGGTTCTGTGTTACATAAAGTGCGGCTCCCCTGCTGTCTGAGTACTTAGTTGTTAGGGTGTATAGATTTGTTAGCAAAACCTATCATGGTCCAATGTATTCTTGATAAACTGAATTCAGACGACAAAGTATCAAGTTCAATGTGTGAGAGTAAGATGGGGAGAAAAGCATTTTGTGAGTTTCTGATGCCGTCACTTGTTTCTCCCTGCCGCGATTTCTTGTGCTTTTTTGTCATTTGATCGTGCAAGTAAATGTCCTGCTGGAGTCTCGAGAAGGTAGATTCGAAGCCTAGCAATATCTAAGATAACAAACATCGCCTTTAGTGTGATAAGAACTCCTGCTAAGTCATAGAAGTGGGTGGATTTTGAAACGATTTGTGTTGACCCCGAGCACTATGGAGTGATGACTTTTATAATCTCATAAAGTATACAATGATACTAACAATTACAAGTACATCTATAAATTGGTCGATCGTGTACACAGATCGTCATTACCATGGGGTATTCAACCATTCCCAGAAGAAAGTCGCAGTTGTAAGGAATAGTGTAGCTTATAGATTTAGACTGTCCGGTTCGACAGTGCCCCTCTGCACTACGATTCTAGTAATTGAATAAGTTCGGACAGATCTCTAGGTTGATTTTCTGAGCAGTGTCGCATTCCTAGGCATTTTGTTTGATATTAAACAATACTCTGGAGACTGAGCTGACTATAAGAGATGATTTCTGATTTCGATCAAGATTGGTACCCAGTTTTTTGCATCATCCTTAGATTACTGTGCAGGGAATTAACTGGAAGGCATCGATTGATAGTGTATTGAAGAAAAGTATAGTAGCATGGAAGGGATAGAATAAGGTCTAGGGAGCATCTAATATTTCGAGCTATATGGCAATACTAATATTGCATCTGTAAAAACTAAGGCTTTTGTTCGTCGTCATCAAATACATATGCTCCACCTTGCTCACACCGGGCGAATAGACACTTATCTTTTCTATTGAGCTGCAGGAATTTGATTGATTGTAGATATATCGTTGAAATACTTCAAATCTTGAAATTCTTATTCACTCGAGGGTAGCTGTCACAATTCACATATAGGTTGTCAGAATCGGGATTTACACAAGTACTGCAGTCATCGAAGATACAGATATTTTACCTGTAAATGATAACAGGGAATAACTAAAAATAAGTTCTAAGCTTTCGCTTTTGATTTCGCTCATTTAATGGGACTAGACAAGTTTGTGAGTCGCAATGAAGAATGCATCAAAGTTTAATCATTCGTTCATTTTCGGGCAACCGGAAGGTTGCTCATCAAGACGCTGAGAACAAATCGCGTGAGTATGACACTTCACAAGGTGTCATAATCAAGCTCGGGAATTCATTTTCTTCCAAAATCATTTAAACTTGTCTTGTGATGGATGACTTTTGAAGAAAGCTTGATAATGATCAAGAAATGGATAGTGTCATAAAACAACGAGAATAACATAAAAGTAAATCGAATATAATAAAAATAACAATGTGCTTCTCCTCGTACAAGTCATTGTTCCTCACTAGACATGTAATAATATACAAAACTCCCCACAAGAATCTGTCTCGAGAACCTAGAATGATATACCAAAACATTCTCACACCCTCAACCTCTTATACCACCACGACCTCTTTGAGCACCCTCAGCCACCCTCAGATTAGCCAACTCTTCACACCTCAGCTCACTCCCCGACGTCTTCCCCTCTACCCTTCCCTCCTCGCCCTTATAATATCTGGTAACAAAACCACAACCACACCAAGCTCTGGAATCTCACCCAGTACCACTTTCGCCCCCTCACTCCTCGTAAACCCATTACTCGTTCCATTAAGCATATGCATCATAATACTAACCGCATACAGTATCCTGACCCCTAAAAATGGCGATACCGCAGTGACACCCCATAGAAGTTGCGTTCCTTCTTCGTACGCACCTTTATTTTTGTCGTCTTGGCTAGGTCTATAACAGAAGAATGTAGCGCCGGCAAGTAGAGCCCCACAGAGGAGTAGAATGATTCAACCGAATTTGGCGAGGTTTTGGTGGTGTGGATCAGGTTATCATTGATGAGGGATGTGGTGCCCGATGATTGGAAAGGCGAGGGGCTATGGAGACCGGAATATGGTGATGATTCATTACGTTATTGTAAGTATGATTATGTTTTCTGAGTATAACGGGCGGAATGGCGAAAACAAGAGGGACACGTACGCTTCATGCAGAATCCCCATACTACCTAGTAACAATGGGGCTAAACCGATAGGATTAACAAGAATGGTGAGACCTTTTGGATCGGTTGCTGTGGATGTCATGTTTGGGAAGGGGTGAAGTATGGGTATGGAGGAAGTAGTATATAGTATGTATCAGATCAAGAAAGGCACCTAAAAGGTGGAAGAATGTGTGATTATAGAGAGTTGATGACAGCTTGAAGTTCCTCTTTATACACCTTTCGGCTCCCTGCACTGGAGCTCGCCACAGCCATAATGAAAAGGCGAAACCAATTGCGGGTAACAGAGCCCTGTGAGAGTAGCAGCCATCGGTGAATATTCCTTACTAGACGCGGTATGAACTCTCATCCAGTACAGATAGTGCAGCATATCAGAGCAAAAGAATTTGGTGGATATTGCAGCTAAGGCACAGCCGTCATTTTCTTATCCTATATGACGGAGTCTAAGGCTGAAGGTATCTGAACTAAACTAGACCCATTGGTCAATCATTCGAAAAGGCTCTGGCACTGGCCTTTTTGAGCGATACCGCGAATTTGAGCTGCATAGGACTGAGATGGACGAGGCTTGGCTCATGTGAAAATGATGAAACACTTACGGATGACATGGATGAAATCCTAGACCTCTATGAAATTTCACGGCCGTAATACTTTGTGAAATAATGGGGGTTCAATTAGAAAGTCTTTTGAGTAGGGTGTTAAGTATTCCAGGGCGGAATACTCAATCTGACTGCATAAGAAGATGATTTCTTGGAAGTGGAGATAGGGGTATCATAAGAAATAAAGAGAATAATTCGAAGATTCCTTCAAGGTATGGCACCTTTATCCGTCCTCTATTCAGCATATTGTGCCGATATGTTTGACTGCTCTTATCTCTCATGGGGTCAATTATACCGCAAAGTGGCACACATCCGTACAATTTACTATTGCAAAGTTTGTAGGACTGCGCAAAGTGACCATATCAATTAGCCTCAAGAATCCCAGAGCCTCTAATGTGGACTGAAAGTATGATGACACAGGATCGTCTGTCCAGTTCACAGCGGGATGAATCTGAATGATATAGCTTCCTGAAATGGATCTTGACTTGCTGTACACACTGACACCAGAGAGTTGAGCATCGGGACGAGAAACCTTGACCATAGCTCAATGTTGCTCATTAAATCTAACCTAAAATTCCGGGGATTTGAGCTTCCGATGAACTGTCTGATAAACGAGGTTCTCCGAGACTCCTTAAGACCTTCTGACTAGAAGGAGCCTTCAAAACGTATCTCATGGTATAATGTTTAGCCCTTATTAGTAGACAGTGTACTATCTTCAATTTCGACTTCCCGAGTTTCAACCAAGCCGTACGATGCCGACGACAACGTTGGACGGTTAGAAGGGAGCCACGACAACATTTTTCCTAAAGCCGATGCAGTACTTGGCTCCTTGAGCTCCGAGATCTCGCCATCTTGAGCATACTCGTTTGAAGTTGGAAGTAGCTGGCTTAACAAATTGGCGTTTTCCGGGGACGTGTCCTTGAAATAGTTATAACAGCCGGTCGAAACTATGACCACCAAGCCACCTATTATCTTCCAGATTGTGAATCCGGATGACCGTAACGCTGGAAATATGAAGTATTGAGATGCTGCAATTGTGAGCAAGCTGATAGAAGTCCCAACTAACTTCATGAGGTTGTCCTTCTTCCGGAGCATGGCAGCAACAATCAGACCAACACCAGATGTCAGACATGAGAAATATATCGCAATTGTTACAGTAGATGTCATCGAAAGGTTTGAGTTCGTCCCGCGATCAGTCGTCATCCAGGTAGCGATAGGATATGAGACGATAGCGAAGAATACCCCCCAAAGGTAGAGCCATAATTGTGACTCCCAAAATGATCCAACCTTGGTGAGAGACTCACTAGCAATGCTAGCAATTGCAGAGAATACCGCGATGACAGACCCTGCCACAGGAGCCACCAGCCAGCCCTTTGTATTACCGCCCGAGGGAATGTTGAAGAGAAGGAGTCCAAAACAAAGGCACCCAAGAGATATCCATGATCGAGAATTGCCTTGCTTCCTAACCCAAAAATGATGTAGGATTGCCGTCGCCGGGATTTTTGCTAGCATACATACTTGGAGGAGACTCGGTGATGTGGATGGTAAGACCGTGAAATATATCAGGTTATTTGTAAGATAAAAGGCAGCAGGAATGCCATATCGCAAGATGTCCTTGAAACTATTACTGTTGCACTTTTTCCATATCGAGCTAAGGCCTTCTTTGGAATAGTTGATGATGATAGCTGCGATGGCAAGCTTCGAAGCTTCGGAAAGAAGGGCAATCAATGACGGGGTGATCTGAGGAGCCGTTTGAAAGGCAAAGTATGCATAATTTGCGCGTATTGTTTCTCCCACTATGTAAATTGGGAGAAGGTTGTCGGTAAATGAGCTCATGGTTCAGTGGTATTGTAGGAAATATGATTCAATACAGAAATGAAAGAAATCATCTTGGAAAATAGAAAGCCTTGCTTTAATGTTATTCTCTAAGAAACAATCCTTAAGTAAGGAAATGCGATAAAAATGGAAAACTTGTCTCATTCATATTTGTTATTTTTGATTTACCTAACGAGCAATGAATGCTGATTTATCTTATGTCAGCAGAATATTGGAGAATGGAATCACCTTTCGGGTGCCGCATCAAGAACAGCCAACTGTTGGGCCGATGATTTTGTATTAAACGTGACGAAAACGGTACGAATGCGACGAGAAGCAGCTTTCCATCTCTAACTTATATTCAGATAAGCAATCCACAGGAATTTAGTAGATTAGCAGATGACGAATTTACTGATGCTTATACTACTGTTAATTTAATAGTATAATCTGATTAGATGCCAAGAAATTTAGCCTATCTTAGTTAGTGTAGGGAAATATCTATTCATGAAAAAGAAAGCGCAGATGATAATGACCAGACCCACCAAACCAACAATAACAAAACATCAAGCAACTAAAATAGAGAAGGAAGGAGAGAGTCAAAATTGGCAAAAGCAAATGGGCGTTGCCCGGGATTGAACCGGGGACCTCTTACATGGTGAACAAGTCTTGAAGACTGTGTGACCCTAAGCAAGAATTATACCACTAAACCACAACACCTTTTTAATATTCTTAGGTGGTTTTACAATAATATATACTACCGAAATTTACCCATGTAGCGCCGCTTACCACAAACCGTCTCCGGTACGTACCGAATACGGTGTACATACCGAAACCCACATCTGTACTTTTATATACTATCTTATGATAAACCGAAAGACATAACCTCGTTTTTCGTAATCCTGATCTTTCGGATATCTGACCTTCGCAAGCCACAACCCGTTCTTGGTCTCCCTGCTTTTCATTGCCCACATCATCTTACTGTTGTGCCAACACCTGGATGAAGTACTCTGAACACTATGATAGTATTAGAGATAAGTAATGTGTTATTTCCTACTTTTCGATCTGTATCTTCAAAGTCGAAGAAAGCTTTATACCCTTCGCAAGTTTATACTTTTGAGATATTTACTACCTTTACTTCTCATATTGGATATTGTTTTTCTGTACAAGATCATTTATATGAGATATTCTATTATTTTATCACATAGAAAAACCTGATCTCATCATACACGAAGACACCAAATATGCTCTCACTTGAAGAATTACTTGCCGATATCGAGGATGCCGATGCGAATGAATTTGTCACTATCCCACTTACTCCTCCCACTCAACGTGGCTATGAAGGGATCTGGCTGCAATGGGAAAAGTAAGCCAACCATTTCGTCTTCCACCCATGAAGTGATTTTAGTAATAACGGTTTATTTTTCAAGCTATCTAACAAGACTCTCTAAACCCGATTTGCAACCAACTTTGGCTGTTATGAAAGGCTTCTTCAAAATGATCGCAACAGAACGCTGCGGAGTTTTGAATGAACGTCTTGCAGTGCAATCATTAATTGCCTACGCTATTCGGTTCAAGGCAGTACATGATCGAAAGCATGAGACGTCTTTGAATTCACGCTTGATGAGACAGCTACGAGTTGTAAGTCCCATTACTACATTACAGTTCTCTTAGATGTTCTTGTTAACGTTGGCTATAGTGGATAAAGAGCGACCTTGCACGCCGACTCAAGTTGAGTACAAGAACTCGTGTGAAGCCTATCGCCACTACCGATGACCTGAGAGACTTGATCGGTTATTTATGGATGAACAATCTCCACCATTTCGATTACGAACGGACTCGGATTCAGTTGGCGTTTATGATCATGCTGCTAGCATATACTGCATCACGCCCTAGTGCTATCGTTGAATCGAATGCATACCACTTGACTGGGCAGGCTATGCTGTACAAAGTGTGTAAAGAACTTCTTCGTTTCAGGTCTTGCAGCTAATATAATTGAAAGGATCTGAAGTTCTCTTTGCAAAAAGACAAAGATGGAGACCGACCACAAATGTCCCTGGAAGTTACCTTCAACTTCAGGAAAAACAAGCGTTTCGATGATGGCTCAGTGTGAGTATTGTTACAATACACGAATATCTTAATACTGATATGAATCTCAGCTTCCAACAATTGTTATTCGAAGATCGAGAAAGCCCAGATATGTGCCCAATCACCGCATTCCTTGCTCTCGCCTTTGCAGATCACGCATTTTCTACAATAACAGATATTGGGCAGCTGTATGACAAGCACATATGCCCTGGAAAGTACGTGGATATTCCATTCAAAGAAAGTATCTTGAATACGCCAATTCTTCGAAACCCGAGAGAGCCACATTCGATTCATAAGACGACAATTGTAACGGTTTCCGGAATTCAGACAATCGCACAATTAATTCAGTTTATTGAACAAACTTTCAATGTCACACAAGGAGAGCATATCGATTTCAGCTATGGTGGATTTTAAGCATCGAAAGTTAACCCCATTTGGAGACGATCGCAAGCGCAGAAGATCTTTTCTAGATAGACTTCATACTATGATGAGGAAGGGCAACAAAATGGCGGTTGTGTGCCCAAATATCAAAATATAGGTGGTTGTCCAATATCAAGAACAGACGCATCTCTATTCATCAGAAGACTCGCTCCCACCTGTACTCTCAATCCACAACGTGAGCAACTCTGATTTGTCCTTTATATGATGGTTACCAAGCCGTTGTTATTCCAATGCTAAAGTGTATATCTTCTAGTCAATCAATAAGAAGGGCCCTGGCGACTTCTGGACTCACAACGAAGCCAAGGCAACTGGTTCAGTTGCCAGCACAAACACACCACCTCCAACCAGCTCTTTCGCGTCTCTCGGGTCCCAAGTACCCAATCCAAGCAACTATCCTCCTTCCCTTACCGACTTCCCCCAAAAGGATGACGGGACAAAGAATCAGGCCAACAGCTATACCCCATCCACAAATTGTTCTACAGAGGGAGCTCAAGGAAATCTGCCACGCAAATATAAGTTTACACCACTGCCGTCCAGGTCTCGCTCTTCCTGCTAGGCTTTCCTGGATGTCTGAGTTGATTGTCGATTTAGAATTCTATAAATTTACCGGTTCTGGGGCGTTACAGGTTTGGGTATATTGCGTGATATGAGGAGGGTCATTTGCATGGTTTTGATAGTACTGTCACATATACTCGAGTACACTTTCTGATTAGAAAACACTCTCTAGAAATTGTTTAAACATTCCCAAGCATAGGAAAATAAACCCATTAATCATCTAACTACACCACTGTCTATATGTCTCATTTGTCAAACTTGCCCTCTTATAATACTGTGGCCCCCCAGTCTCTATCTTCCTAGATTCTCCATCAAGCTATGATTGTGTTGGGCTTGAAGTGAATCAACCTGTGAGTTTCTCATCAATTCCTAGACGAAGCAAAAGAAAGTTCCTGATTGCGAGCTTGCATTGATTCCCCTTTCCGTGATTGATAAGAGGACTGTACCTCACCGTCATTGACATTAGACGGCCCCCCTTGCCTTGCATATTTTACACTGCCCTTAACCAGATTACCAGATATAAACTGTAGCTAAGATATACGATGTTCCTCACGGTCTCTTCCATATCTTTCCTCCTCGATTCTTTGCCGCTTGATATCAGTCTTTGATTCTTGGCTACTCTTACTGCTCCTTCTCCTTTTACCAACATATATACCGATGACCTCGCGCTTCATGCAGATGTAAAAGTCTTTTTTCTCCTGTTGTCGCTGCATTCTGATCACGTTGAGAAACTCAACTGGTGTGCAGCTTTTGCTAGTATTGCTGATATTGTCGATATTCTTGGTAATCGTAAAAACCCAGCCTGTACGGGCCTGCATATAGCCTTCCAAATCACTTATGACTAGATCACGAGAACGAAGGCCGTTAAGCTCATGGATTGTGACCAAGTTAAGTGGTGCGTCAGTGGATACATTAAGCAAGCCCGTGTCATCGGCGGTACATCCGTTTTGATGGAGCATTGATTCATCCGTGTTCCTCTCTAGTCTCTTCTTTGAATACTAAAAGATCAATTTGATATTTCGTTCTGCTGTGGAACAACCACTTACCAATTGTGGGACAACCTGGTCAATTACTGATCTTCTAGATCTAGACTCGCCTGGGAAGCTTGTAATACTTTCTTGGAGGATTAAAGTTGGGTTCTGTTTCTTTTTAGTTATCAAAGAGCCGATTGGCAACATGGCAGATTACTAACAGCAGAAGTTGGAGATATGGGTATAGGAGATCTTGCTTCTTGACCGGAGGCAGCCAAATATTGACTCTCACCAGTAGATCTCGTTTCATTTAGACTTAGGGTTGTCGTTGTACTTGCCATTGATGGTATTGGAGACCTTGTAACTCCAGTCTGATTCAGATCTAGGGGGTTCGTTTTAGAGCCCCTTTGAGTCGAAGCCATAAAATAACTCATGCTTTCAATTGAGGGTACTGGAGACCTCCGCAAATCAGTCTGATCTAAGTTTAGCGGCTGTGTTATAGACTTTTGCCGAATAAAAGCTAATAAAGATCTTGTGCTTGTAATCGAAGGTATCGGAGATCTCCTTGTTACCATTTGATCTACGTTCAATACACTGCTTATTGTATCAATCTGAGCAGGATCCAAAAAGGGGTTTGAGCTTGTGACTGGGGCTATGGGGGATCTACTAAGTTCAAAGCGACTCGGAGATTCTTTCCGAAATGAAGAAACTGGAGTTCTCGATCCTAAACTCATACTTGAGATCGAAAGAACTGGGGACCTTTGATTTGCTTCTGGACTAATCGGCGATACTTGACCGTCATATGTGTAATCCCATGTCGCTGATCCCGAATACATACTCCTGATTGAAGATCTTCGGGATATGTTACCTTTTGGTAAGCTCATTGGCGACGTGGGACTGCCATCGACGCAGTGGTTTGTAGTTCCTGCGCCATACATACTTATGATCGATGAAATTGGCGATCTGACTTCTCCCACTAGAGCAGTTGGAGATATTGGATTATCATCCACACAGTTGCGTCTAGCTAAATGCCGCCAAGCAATATCCAACGAGTGGAATGGAGTCGAGTATAGCTTTCGGGGTTGGGCGCAGGGAGAATCAGCGTTCGATGAACTTATAGATCTTAAATATCTATTCGAGAATGGTGGATCTAGTTTCGTGGACGACGTTTTCTGAGCCAGAGTTGTGTCTTTTGGGCTGGTTCTATGGGTAGCTTTAGACCGATGAACATGAGATGGTTTTATGACCTCAGGTTCCGTTGAACATTCTAAGTCCGTAGCTGGTCCATTTAAGTCATCCTCATTACCAAGATTCATCAGATCTCCAGAGTCAAATTCTGTGTCAGATCCTTCACCGACTCTCATATTTCGAGTGAAGTTGATAGCAGTAGGTGCTGAGGCATCCGAGTTCATGGTCCCATGATCATCGTCAGTCAGTAAGGGAGTTGCTAGTTCATCGGAATTGGAGCTGTCTTCGGATCGCAGTATCTCAGCTTCGATCTGAGTTTCGTCTGCAATTTGTCCTTCGCCTCCGAAGTAACAGGTTTTCCCGAAGAATGAAGAAAGGAAATCCTGAAAGAGGAACTCTGGGCTTGGCATATCGTCCTGTGTAACTGCATCTTTAGTAAAGCCCTGAAGAAAAAAGGTCTTCTTTCCCAGCGTGTATATTTTCAAATGGCACACCCCACCTCCTGCTTAAATCGAATATTTGGCTTCTTTCAAGATGAACTTCTTGCGTTTCAGCGGGAATATTCTCAGATAAAGGTAATTGGTTCAAAATATCGTTCGCTATGTTCTCGATATCTATCTTCGATTGTGATGGATAAATCTGAGTGATCGTGCGCACAACTCTTTCATGGTTGGGGTCACATTGGATTCGATTTGTTATCTTCTTCGTGATTATGCCCAATTCTGCTGCGAACTGAGCGAATTCATAATACAAAGTGGGATCCAACTTGGAAATATAACGCGGCTTCCCTTGTTCCTTCCTCGGCGCTCGACCACCTAGTTCTGCGAAATTTCGTAAAGCCCATATCCATATCTGCTTGTAAACAAGTTCCCAACCCGCCTCATTAGTCGCGACCCGAACATATAGTTTCTTATCCTTCAGCTCAACAAAACTGTTCTCCTTAGTAGTCCAGGATAATCGTAATGTCTCATGCAAAGTAAGTCGACGATGCTTGGTTATGAGCAAAGAGTTCAATATTTTGGCACCGACCTCGAGGTACTTAAGGTTCTCGTGCATGGTTTTGATACTAGGTATCAAGCAGTCTATCTCCAAAAGAACCTGTAGAATTCTCACTCGAGTCTTGGAGGAAGTTATTCTCGGGAACAGGAGGCCAGAACCCATTGCAGCCTTCACGAAGTTCTTGTCACAAGTACTTAATTTAGGGACACGGAGCTGCAGCAGACGTACAGTCTGTATGTCCGTTGCCCTTTGTATCTCTCGATCTTTCAATGTGACATCTTGCCACACCGACCAGATATGTTTCAGATATCGTGTCATTTCCTAGATTGCGTGAGTCACAAAATATCTCTGGGGGAGCGCTAATTCGAACCTCATCGCATCGTAGAGCTAGGTGCTTTTGAATATTACCAAGTTCCAATCCAGCCCAAAGACCAGGTACCGGTAAGAGTTGATCGAAGAGGTCAGTCATATCTTCATGTTTAAGTAGCTGACTCGAGTTTATTCTCTTGCAATTTGTGAGTTTTGCCATCCAACTCTCAGCCTCAAACTTTGAATCCATTGCTTGGTAGAGTCTGACGTTACAATACACATCTCCGTCTGAAAATCCCGTCTCGTGAGAAAATTGGTGTCTGAAATGCGCTAAGATTTCCTCTCGTGTTCTTCCTAAATCGGAGCCGTCAGATGAAACTTGCCACTTTGGAAGCTAAGAGAACCCCATACTATTTGAAGGGATCAGATATATTTCAATAGTCCACCAACGATCTACTTTCGACAAAAATTCTTTTGCAGCTTTGATTCGATGTTGACCATGAGGGCATAACAGATTTTGGTTTGATGAGACCAACGGCAATGAGCCATCAACAGATGTGGTCTTGAGGTCGTTCCGAGTCACGTTTGAGGCTCTGAGTAAATTTGCGAGTTGGGCTTTACTTACAAGAACTGGAACATAGTTTGCGGCATCGTAGCGACGGCAACCTTTTTGCCGGTATAGCTGCTTCAAATTTCAACTATATTTTGGTCGATTTGTCTACCTTCTTCAAAGGTCAAAGAACATATGTCAATTCTGGCGACACCAACAAGCTTAGTCTCCCTATTACGGTCGGTCTTATCGTGAGTAGGCATTACTTGAACCAATAGAAATCTACTAATAGAAATCATTTGTAAATTATTTCCCATGAGCAAAACCACGAAAACAAATATACCAGTAGAAACTTCAACTTTTAACCGTCGCGTACTGAAATCATAACCCCCGTGTTCCGGATTACGTATCCAACAACACCGTTTCATGTAATTATACAGTACATAACGGAAATTGCTTTATAAAACGTTTGTGAAGTGTTTCTCTAGAACATTAATGAAGGATACTATGTCATCAGCTACTACAGATGTCAATAAACAGCTTCCACTGACCACAGGTTCAGTGATGCTTTCGGTGTTAGAGTGGGAGAACGAGACTCTTCGAAAAGAGAACGAAGCATTGCGATATCATTTAAAGATTACTATTCAAAGATCAAACCGAGATAAGCGCATCGCTACCGCAGCCAGGGCATTCCTCCGGGAAACCACATCGAGCTCACACAGGTTTGAAACTGCTGTTCGTTCCGCAAAAATAGTTGAGGGAGATTGGATATAGAACAGCTGTAAGTATCATTCATCTCATTTATTGCCCCGATTATTGACACACGAAGAGCTTTTGGCGCTTGTGCCTCGCAGACACGCACGTGGGTACTGTAAGGGGTGGTGGTGGGGTATCTAGCATCAATAGTGAATCGTCTAATCTTATATCTCAATGAGGTCGGTAAGTCTAAGTTTTTGTGAATAGGGGATAGGGTGAATTAGGCAGGAAAGCTCTTAGGTAACTTGTGTAGCAATAGGCGGACTTACTTCTACCACTGATGCGTCACTTAGCAGAGATATCCAGTACCCGCAGAAGGTTTACGTTGCAATTGTAACAGCTCTGATGGTTCTCCTCTGTTTCAAGTGCTCCATTATTGCTTTGCCCATCGGATCCCGATATCTCATCATTCTGATCTCACGAAAAGCTACTCCCTTATAGTGCTCCGCCAATAGTTCTTTACCTTTCTTGCTCAATTCACTCCATCCGAAATTGCTTTGAGTCGGATTAAATTCAGTTCAGTCATATATCCTGACATCATCACAAACCAGACTCCACTAAGTCATCAATATTTAAATCTTACCGCTTTCCATTCCTAACGCCGACTCTTTGCCTAGAATTAAAGTTCTACAAATCATGGATATTTCTGAAAGACACATGAGCCAGCTTACTGAGTTCTCTGAGGTTATAACTTGCTTATCAAGACCACGAAAGCAATGCAAGATCTCGTTCAATATCTTGGAGTAGTTACCATAAGTCCAGAACACTAGAAAGGAAATGTGAATTCCACTCAAATCTGATACATAAAATCAGTTAAGTACATCGGCTGAATCCCCGTAAACAGTTGATCGCCTTGAACAAAAAGAAATAGTCTAGTTAGTTTAAACAGCAAATTACCACTAAAAGTGAATTATATTACTTCTATGCCACGAAAATGACACCTATTTTACTCTTATGCCATTTGAAATCTATTCTTAAACGACTAGATTCTATACTAAAGATTTTACCCCTCCTACCATAGATTCTACCCTCTCATAGATTAGATGCATTTGATCTAGCTTTTAGATATCAATTGAATCTTCCTTGAACTAGCTATACGCAAAACCCTAGTACGTCCTACAATCCGGACTATTGGATACACTTCCCAAAATTGAGGCTGCATCAGTTTCTCAATATAGTGATTTGAGTATCGATAGAATATTGAGACATTGGACAGACAGTCAAACAATTTGCACAGTGTTATGGTTAACCATGTAAAAGAGGTTACAGCCAAGAAGAGAGATATCATAGGATTTGTTCGAGTAAGACTTTGGTAGAAGTCTTCTCAAGCAATGTTATTTGGACCTGCAGAGAGATTTGAGCACGAATAATACAGGTTTGTGAGATACGCCAAAGATCGAGCGAGCTCCGTGATAAATGGCTCTTCAAATCTTTTATAACAGAAAGCGGCCTCACGAATATGATAGTAGTGTAGCCCAGATGAAGGGATGCCCTGTAATAATTAGTTAATTTGAATGCCGGGGTCAATTTCAGTTTTGTGGTCTGCAAAGGCTTTATATCCCCATGATGTAACAGTCCTACCCAGCACATACCCAGTTCGCGCTTGAAGCAAAATCAGGATTAAATGCAACCCCGCTTCTCGGTGTAGCGGATTACATCGCTTAGCTACTTCTATCATCTTCATCCAAAAGATTGGAATTTTCACACAAGAAGATAGTCTGCATTAGGAATTCCTACTCCAGGATATATCGTCTTTTCAAAATTCTAAACCTTTCCCACCCGAGGCTCTTAAAGGAGCCTCTACACCTCACTCGATAGGCTTCTTTTTTCTGCTTTGGGAGCAAGTATTCCGGCACTCTCTTCACTTAGCAGCGTAGTCGACGACACCATGGTAGAGCTTACAAGACAAGAAAGAAGCCAAGCAGCAATCAAGTCGTGGGCGAAGCGCAGGCAGAAAGCAGCTATAGGAGAAGCATCGGTGTCGTGTATCAAGGAGAAGCCTACAAAGGTGAAAAAGAGTCGACAAGCAACTAAGGTCTTGACGGAACGCAAGCAGAGAGAAGCTAAGGCTCTTGAAAAGGCAGAAGAATTAGGGGTGGAAAAACGATACAATAAGACCGCCTCTCCGCGAGAGTACCACGCTATGATCAATGAAACTAAAGCCATTGTAGCTGCATCCGTGGCAGAAGCTGTAGTCGGGTCCCTTCTTACCCAGCGACAACGAGATCATCTTTTCGAGGAAATTCTCGCACGTCAACACCGCGACGAGGAGCTACAAGTCAAGTTTGCAACAGAGCTACATCTACAAAAACTTGCCATTGATACAAGCAACAATAAGCAACATCAAATTTTGAAGTATGGATCTATACAGAACGCAATGATACCGGTTGGCCAGGACAACACCCGATATAAAGATGACTTAAGGGAAGATCATAACGGTGAGTTATATATCATATCCACTAGAAATCACTTATAATTGAGATGATTACATCTACTAACAATTCCGCCTAACCTGTAGTGTTTAATATGGCTCAGAGGATGGCCTTTAGCAGTGCGATGAGCCAAGGGACATCACCCCAAAATACTTTTCCTGTAAGTTCTTGGTCTTTTACCACTCTCAAGTAAACTTGCTCATACATACTCAAAGTGTACACGATGTTTCTCGAGGAAACAAAGATGCATCATACCAGAAGGCCATAACATTGAAATGTGTCAGGGGTGTAGAAATGCTAACGTAGAATGTATCCCGCAAATGCTTCCTGGGTTGAACGATTCTCCTTCTTTCACAGAACCTGAAGTCATGATAAGTGGAGCCTCTGTTCAGTTTATCGATGCCAATCCCTTCTCTAAAATCACGCAAAAAGAGGCGATAGAAAATGAAGGTGCTACAAGGTTGCCACATGAGCCGTTTTTTGGCGATGCTGCTTTCGGCAACATCGAGCGAGAGCCTGTCCAAATCACAACAACTCACTGGAAAGCACCGGCATTTATACCAGAATGGCACTCCGAGACTACTTGCTTAGGTGCTCAACAACTTCAGTCTCCTACCTTGAGTCCAGAGCTATAGTTTGAGCCAGGTTGTCAAGTAACTTTTGGAAGCACACCTGTCATTTCCTCGATGAGCCTCAAAGAAATGTTTGAGCCTGTGTATCCAGCCTTCGAAGAGAAATGCAGACGAAACCCATCTCAATATTTGTCCAACAAGATTTTACAATTGGAGTCTCAACAGCGTTGAACAGCTATTATGGATTATTAGAAATAGTCAAAGGTTGATTAGTGTGTTGGTTTGATGATGGTGTGTTAGTATTATCATTGAAAAGTTGGACTTTGCATATGGACTACTGCCTATAAAATTCACTGTCCGGGTAGGTGGTCTTGTAAAGCTAGTGTGTTTGTTCCTCTTTCAATCTGTCTTCAAATTTCACTTCGGTATCCCTCACATGAGAAAATTTGAGTGCGTGATTGGACCCTAGAAGTTTCCGGAATTCCTAGTAACATCTATCGTTTATAAATCTGGATATTCGACTTCGGGGAAAATTCACATAATGAGTTGGTTCTTGCGAACTCCCCAAATTCTGGTCTTCTAATTCGGTTATTTTGCCCAACGATCATAAAGAGACTTTCGAAGATAACAGGACTTAGCATCACTGGGTTTTGTTTTGGAAAGCCATTAGATACAAGTTTCTTCAAGGACGCTCTAGGTAATACATGGAAGCATCTAATCACTATTCACTCTGGTCTCATTATTATTATATGGGCATATGGCAAGGTCATATTTCTACACAAGTCCAAATTGGATCCTTCAAATATTGACAGTAGAATATCGTAAGTAACAACATTGATTCCTAAGATGAAAGAGTGACATTTGTTTTGCACCTTCCAGTTCCTTCAAATCCAGTAATAAAACTTTCAATTGCATACCGGTATCTCATAAAGAACTTCACTACCATGGCAAGGAAGAAGAGTCTCGGACCAAAGCACTTGTTGTTAGTGTCGGCTTGTCTCCTTTGATCATAATCAGTAGACCGTATGAATACTCTTACACATCGATGACTTACCCGACACCATCTACATTCCGTACCCATCTCTTCTGCCACTCTCCCACACATGTTAACACAGCGGAGCTCCTCTTGATATGCCCATTGTGCGCCATATTGAGCTTCTTGAGAATGATTATCGATGCGAATGAATCCAGGATGTGGTGCGGGAGCTTCCTTATCTGGGGGGCTGTATTGAGCATATACCTCTGGTGGATGATAGAAAGCCTGTTGAGAGTAGTCGCTACACGTAGGAGTAGGTTGCGGATTCATCACTGGTGTATGATAGGAAGCTTGTTGGGAGTAGTCGCTACATGCAGAAGTAGGTTGCGGATTCATCACTGGTATATGATAGGAAGCTTGTTGAGAGTAGTCGCTACACGCAGGAGTAGGTTGCGGATTCATCACTGGTGCATGATAGGAAGCTTGTTGAGCACAATCGTCGATTGCTTGAACGACGGAAGATCTGGAAGTAACAGGAGCTGGAAGTGGCAGATCCGTGGGCGGAACATGGATATCCTTCTGTTGAGGATATCTTGGAAATGTAGGAGATAGCGGCTCATTATTCCCGTAGTACGTGGGTCCGGTAGGATAGGGTGCAAAAAGCCGCCCCTTGGGGACTATGTATCTTGAGTATAAACTAGTCATTTAGCAACTGTAAGGATATACTCACCAGCAACACCTTCGGAGTGACCCGGAGGATAGTCCGTTTCGTAGTTCCAATACTTATAGCTTTTTGTTCCAACTTGAGGGAATATTGGCCGTTATTTGAAAGGGTTGTAGCCGGGAGTTTCTGTGACATTCCAAGGATTAAAAGGGACGGATGTTCTGACACCCGCAAACCACTCGTCGAACTCTTTGCGTTCTTTTGGAGTAGAATTGGAGTACATAATGATGGTAGACAGGAAGCGTTGATACTTCTTACTATTGATTATAAAGCCATCAGAGGAAGAGAAAGCCGATTGGTTGTCAAATATAAGGGAGAAGAGGTCTATATGTACAGATGAGGAGGGATGTGACAGCATTAGCGTCATAGTCAACACCTACAATTAAATGTTAGGAAAGCTTTTGAGGCAAACTGACTGCACACTACGGAAGGAGTGGGTGAGTCATTTATGCAATGCACGTTTCCATTAATATAAACGCTCGTACATATAAATCAGTGATACAAAAAGGAATAATATAGGAAAATAGCACAGAAATATTGCTAGAGCTGCTGGATTGGTATGGGAGTGCACGGAGTGCATGCTATGATGTATGAAGCCTTGGATACGAGACGCAGTATTTTCCCTAGATTGTATCAAATAGAAGAGTCAGGAATGACTCTTGTAATCTAGATGCGGTAGTACTTTCTGATTTTCGGCTCCCCATCTGTCTCCTGTTGCCGATGCTCCAAATTCTCACAAGCCCGATTTCCATAATATTGTAACATATGGATAATTGATAGGCTGCGGAGTTAGATTAAATCAAGCATTATCACCATCTCAGAAGATCCCCTCTTTGGTCTGGCCCCATGTCTTTCCAACACTTGTAACTGGAATGCAAAAGTAACAGAGGCTATGCGTATTGGGGGGCTCAAAGAGTCTTTGGTGGGAAGTTGAGAATAGGGCTTCTTCATGGTTGTAAACACAGTATTTTGGATCGTATATTGGAACAATGATAAGAAATTCTTGGAGGACTGAGAAACAAAGACCTTGCATAGTCTCGAACAGTGTATTGCTAATCGTTACGACTGCGTTGAACAATCTCCTTTCGTAACACCGCTACAGCCTTGAAAATGTTTGGCTCACCGACATCACTACCTAATCTACATTACTGTCCTTCGTGTCATCGACATCTTAACCATATCAAGTACTATTCGGAATCTACAGGCTGAGAGCACTTTCCACCTTTTTCTCTCTACTTTGGTGTTGAGCCGGAAGATAATCAAATACCAAAGTTATGCTAGTCATATCCAAGGAAAAATACAGATTTTTGCATTAGCTGAATATAGACCTAGTGCTCATTGGGTATTTACCTACTAACCGAATATAGACACCTGAATCATGTGCTATTTACCTTTTGATTTGACAGTAGAATTCTGTTTCATGTGACGCCAATGCGGTCATCCCTCCTCTTTTGGACATATAGAACTCTTCACATTAGATCTAATAAGTAATCTGATTTCTCTTACATTCTCTTTGGCTCTATACTCAACACTTTTACCTTAGGAGCGAACCATATTGCGATCACTGCAAATTATATATCCAACCTCTGAGAACATCTTGAACTCTTAATAATTTATCACAAAGACACTCTACACCAAGTATGACTCAACCAACGGCAGGAATCTTGAACTTGAGGCTTCCGCATGAGGAGGGAATCATCAATACCACACAATCCTGGGCATGTATATGGTGTCCAGAACGGGGGACCTTCCATTCTGTTAACGCGTTATGGTCGCATACAGATGACAAGCATCACGACAAATTCCCACAAGATCCGCTTGAGCTCCCTACTTTTCAGAAAGTTATTGAGAGTACTTCAGCTATAAGAAGGTCAGTGGATATAATACGAGGCTGTAATTTGAATGTCAAAACGCTGATAAAGTCACACGCAAAGACCCTTGAAAGACCAAACCGAGCAATCTACATTGCAATCCGAGCTACCTTCTCACAGTACGCTTGAGCTCAAGAACGACAACACTCCCACGATGACAGCTGCAGATGATATGCCATCAGGAGGGTCGCCACCTCAATTCCGGGGAGTTCCCGACACACTCCCATTAAGAAGACGGGGAATCTCATATTTGACACATGTTGATTAGGCTAGACAATCGATTCCTAGTTCTGCACGCCCTCATGATCAGCCCTGAAATGCGATAAACACGAGGTCATCATTCGACTCAAACGTCGCCTTCAGGAGGGGTTATGATATGGTTCTACAACTAAGAACAATGCCTCTTACTCGATGGCAACTTGTAGCAGAAGTCAAGGGCATATATGATGTGATTCTAGATGTTGAATCCAGGTGTATCAAAGCCGATGTTGAACAAGCTGCCCTTCTGCGTAGACAACCATCGAGACTCAGTGATGAGCAGTGGCAAGCTCTCATGACACTACATCGTGCCCTGCTTTACGAATATCACGATTTCCTAATGGCCTCTCAGCATCCATCTGCTTCTCCTGCTCTACGTTGGTCGGCCCAAAAATTTGCTGTGCCTGCTAGAGTGTGGCGTCATGGTATTTATTCGTTCCTCGAGAATCTTAGAAGTCAATTGCCAAAATCACTTGATCACATACTTGCATTTTTATATTTGGCCTACTCGGTAATGGCTGTTTTATACGAAACAATCCCAGGTTTTCAAGATACATGGATCGAATGTCTAGGAGATATTGCACGGTACCGTATGGCCATTGAGGATGGTGATACCGAAGACCGTGGTATTTGGACTCAGGTTGCATATCGATGGTATCTTAAAGCTTCATATAAACTTCCTGGTGCAGGAAGACTATATCATCATCTTGGGATTATCACACGGGGAAACACTTTGCATCAGCTTCACTATTTTACAAAAGCACTTTGCGCTAAGATACCGTTCATTCAGGCGCGGGAATCGATTCTCACACTCTTTGATCCAGTTCTGAATTCAGCGAATAGTTGTTCTCAATTCTCACGGTTCGAAACTGTTTTCATTATGATCCATGGTCACCTTTATAAAGGTAATGCGTCTTGGATCCATGAGATGTCCGACCCCGAGACGAAGGAACTTCTCGGTTTATTGGACAGTCAGATTGGCAGATTCACGGCAACGTTCAAAGAACAGGGTTGTTATATGGCTATATCTAATGTCGGTGCCGAGCTTGGCTACGGCTTAACAGAAAACCCCATCATGAAAGCTATGATGACACCTCGTTCGGCAGCAAATACAGACGCTGCTCATACAAGATCTTTTAGGCATGCTGAGTACTTCAGTAATTCCGTTCTTGAGATTGTTTTGCAACGAATCGGCGATCCGAACACTCTTCCTTTTATTTATATCACTCTTATTTTCATATTCAATATGTCTCGTTATTCGGAGGCAATGGATCTTCTGGCACCTGCATTTGCTTGGCAGTCTTTGGTGATCATGCTCAATACATTGTTTAGATCTGCTGGGTCTATTGATCAGATTGAAGATAAACAATTCCCATTCTCGGGACGGGGTCCTCTTGCAGAAGATTACGCCCTTAGGGGTCTAGTTTGGTCCAGAGATGAAACCATGTATCCCGAGACGTGGTCTATGGATAGAAGCGATGGAGATGAGATATATCTTGATCTCCCGTGCATGTTAGAGCCTCGCAAAGCTCGCATTCTGTGGCTCGCTTGTCGCATTGCTGAGGCTGGACCATGGATCCACTTCGATAACTCCAAGCCAGAGTTCTCGGTAAGTCAAGACACACACAGCTTAGAATCATGCCCCGACATACACAAACCAGTATCTATGGAACAGATAGGCACATAGGATTGAGCAGTGGTCTACAAAATGGAAACTAAAGCGCAGAATTGACTTTTTAAGATTGTTTTTTACCCTCCGAACCTCTCTTTTCCTGCCTCTATATCATATAGCTGTCACTATCATACAAAGAAGCTGGAAAAACAAAACCCTCAATATCGTATTTCAATAATAAAAGTCTTTTGCTATTTTGATATAATGTTATGTTGTTTTCGAAATTCTCCTCAGTTTATCATACATCGGCCCAAACCGGGAAACCGTTTTCCGGACACCGTAATACTCGCTTCAGTACCTATACTATACATCCCTTTCCGTCTACCGTTTCTCGTTTCCCGAATCCCGATTATCATAACGTTGTCATGTACATCCTACAATGACTTACTTACCATATACATATCACCTATCGTATCTTTACTAGTAATTTTCTATTCACAGAAACCGACTTCC